ACACAACAATTTAAAACATCCGTAAACATTCAGAAAAAGCGGTAAAATCCACGTGACTTTCTACTTACTATTTATGTGTATGCAAACATTTATTGTCCTTTTTACTGTAAACTAGGAATCTAACAATATTTTGACAACAACAATTCTTAGAGTATTAAATTCGTACTACAAAAACCAGAAAATATCTAATAATTACAAATTGTTATCGGGTGTTCCGAGTTCAACCTGAACACCGGGGATAATAAAAATGTGTTGTAATGTGATTGTCGTGTGTATTACTAATGTATTAAAGGAATGATAGAAAAGCTTTGAATATAATTTATATCTGGTGTTAAACATTTGAAAAGGCTGAAGCTAATTTTATTTCATGTTAATAAAGTTTTAAGAACTTTCTTTAAAAAGTAAAACTTCGATCATTATTATGAACAGAATACGATATTTTCTGAAAACGCACAAGTGCTGTAAAAAAGAACAAGCCGTAAATATTTTTTATTCAGCAATTTAAAACTTTGTAACGGTTGCGTAACCATGAAAAATATTCCATACTGATTTTGTAATATTTTTCTACGCGCCCAAGGTTTTTGCCATAAACTATAATGTAATGCAATTCCGCATAGTTTTCACGTAAACAAGTAGCAAACACGTGCAACTTTTTTATCCTACTGAAACCGGTAAATAAATTCGTCAGTACTCTCCTATTTCATTAAATCATGAATTCCAAGTGAATCCATTAAATATTATTCCTTTTATGGTTACACGTGATGTACAAAATAAGCTACGTAATTGTCATCTGGGCGCTCAGCAGTGCCCCAAACAAGACGAACAATAAAAAACAAAGACAAAGCCCTGCTGCTCTTTTCTCGAAGCTATAAAGGATTTTTTGACTCCCGTTAAACATTATTCAAGTATTTATGTATTCATACAAAAAGCAAGACGCCTAAGCAAAAATAATTTTAAGTGATCAATGGGGTAATAAACAAGTAAATCGACAATGCACTTTAGACTTAAACCTACACTTTAAAAGCTTTTACAAGCCCAAAGATCCATAATTTTGTCACTGGCTTACCTACTGATAATCAAAAGTCTAAGGTATTTCTAGCAAACACATATTCATTATAGCTTCAAATTAAAAATACATTGTTTATTTAGCCTACAAGCAAAAACAAATTAAATATCCCAAAATTTCAGTCAATTTTACTGAATATACAAACTGCATAAATAAGCATTTACACTTAATAAACTGTATGGGTACATTGTGATTGAATGACAATGTTTACTATCATATTCATTAAGAAATGAGATCTCAACAAAAATGTAATACTTATGAATCCTTCTTTAAACACCCTAGGTTTTGGTACTATGTATTTAGGTGCTTATGTTGCTCTAGTTATCAGCGAAGTGTGACTAGCAAAACGCCTTTTATGGATATTTGCAGTTTGCAGAAACAAAAAAAACAAATGTTAAAATAGTGTTCTTTTTTTAGTTTATGTTGAGCGTTGAATCACAGACCATAATTTGTTGGTGCTAAGAATTAAAGACATCGAATACCAAGACAAATAAACGTGAGCCTACTAGGCCGGTATTGAAAGATGCTTCGCATACTTCAAATTCGAACTTGGTCAATTATTTTTTTAAAACGCAATTCTCTGCTATCACGCAGCATAGTATTTTTTAAGAGTTATGCAAAACGCACTAAGAAGCGTAACGACAAAATTTGGCTTTACCTACTGTACAGTACACGCCATGATGGATAGCGTTTCTATAAAAAGTTTAAAAATACTGCACCTACCTTTCCTATCCATCTTTTTCCTAGCTTACTTACTTACTCGACCATAGAAAAATAAAAAGGGTCAAACCTCACAGATCAATTGTATTTCTTGTAGTTATTGCTATTTTGGCAAACACGTTTTGTAAATTATTAAAATGACACCTAGGACGGTATAATCGGATTAAACTTATATATATTAATCAACTTTCACACTTGTAAATCATATGTGACACTTAAATAATTCAAAATAAGCTGACTCAAACAGTATTAATGTATATTGTGTACGTACATAGCATGAAAGGCGCAATGAGCGCATTTTTACCCGACTGCCAAGGAAGGGTTAAGTTAAAATGTTTAAACGTTTTTCGCGCGTATCTAGTATGCATGTAATATTCTTTATTACCTCATCTCTTCCAAACTGCTGCACGGATTTATTTAATTAACATATCGTTAGATTCGTCTTGGTAACCCAAGTGTTCTTAGAGAGGTGACGCATAAAAAAAAACAACATGACGACTGTGAGACGCTATACTTTAAAGTAAAAAAAAAAAATGATTTTGGATATTGCAATATGCAAATCGTGACCATATTTTAATTAGTTCATTACTTTTAAATTATCTTTTTGCAGTCGGGTTTTTTGTTTTTTTTTTATATTGTGGGCTTGTTACTTTGTAAAGTTCATGTAACCTATGTATAACTAAATAAAAAATGCAATGTGTAACAACAGCGGTAAAATTTTCAGTTTATGAGAAGTTACTATATTAAACTCATTGCATTTAAGCCAGTCTTGAATAAATTCATTGTGTGTTATGTATAAGATTTAATGTAACAGCAACTGATTGTCCTTTGTAAATAAATCACTAAATATTGTTCTCGTTAATTAATTCGATTCGGCCTTTCTTTATCTGTTGGTTACAAAATATATACCTAAGGGTAATATCATAACTAAATTTACTGCTATTCATTTGATGCGCATACATGCTTCATTGTATGTGCACTCGTATTTATGTATGACGTAAAATAAGTAGATGTGAAATGTACCGAAACAAACAGTTGTAATTTGGTACATTTTACATTTTCTTTATTTATTTATATATAAACCTTAAAATACTAAAATGAATATATATATATATATTATCAGTTTAGTTTTGTTAGGCCTTAATTTTACTAAGCCTGGGAACGTACCCAATGAGTTCAATCTAATAGCTCAACCTAATTGCTATGAACAAAACCTTTAGACTGGAGAAATACATGTATGACTATTAGACTAACACAAGATGTATCGTTCAAATTATTGATCTATAATAAGAATACCTACCAAAAAGATCCAGTGAACTTACTTCAGGACGGTAAATAACCACATCAATTGCTACATAAACTACTGATATAGAAATTAGAAATGTAAGGTAGAATTACTTAAACACGTGTTATTCATATAAATAAAGAAAATAAATTCCCTAGACGGCGACAACGTGAGTATGTATGTATGATCGACCTCGGTCATTCGCCCTCTTTACGCATACGCATGTGAGCTATTTCCCCACTGAATGTACAAGTGACGGATTATTAATATGTATTTAGTGCCTACATTGAAATGTGACTAAGATATATTGATTATCTTTACAACATGAAATCGTGTCTAACTGTAGTGTAATGTATAGACATAGAGATATTATTAGTACTTAACAAATTTGTCAACCCTGTTTTACTTTCTGTCTGATTTTTGAAGAATGTCAAGTGTAAACATGTAGAATCAACGAGCTTGAAGATCCGTTCCGTTAGAGGAAATTATTTTTTTAAATAGTTGATTATTTGTTGATTGAACCTTAATTCAGGAAAAGCTGTATTAGCAAGTAATTCGGCAAATATCCAGTCTAAGCTTTTAATTGTTTTTCTTGTAGTCATTGACAACACGTTTTCTAAATTATTGAAATATAAACTTAAGTATTAATGTGTGACGTTAAGAATACAAATAAAACCTTGATACGATTAGAATGTATACTTCCGGATTTATAGATGCAAGGTCTAACCGTCAATGTTTCGTTGGATTAAAACGAATTACGTTTCGTGACGATTGGTCCTTTCTTCTTCTGGTAATCTTTAGTTAATAAAATTGCTGCTATACGTTCTACTTTGGAGGGCATTTGACTGCACGGATTACGTAGTAGTTTAGGCGGTCACCTCACCGCTTCTTACTGCGCTGAGTGTTGTGGGTTCGATCCCCACATGGGATAACACTTTGTGTGTTTCCGTTTGAACAAATGTTTGTAAAGTCTATAAAAACTTTTTAATATTTTTTCTGTTATCAAGTTTATAAGTACATTGTTTCGACGGGTCACCTGATGTTAAGTGACTTCCTGCTCTCATGGACCCAACTGCAGAGTCACAAGCTCGTTGCCACCATTTGAGTCTCCTCCCTTACCCGAGTGACTGAGTACTCGCTCACTCGTGGTTGAAAAGCAACGAAACAATGGCTTCACATCGGTTTTCTTTTTGTTAAACAAATGTTTGACTGTTTAAACCTATATATATGTAATATTTTTGTTGTGATTTTTCATTTTTTACCCACTTCCAAAAAGGAGGAGGAGTATGTTTATATTTTTTATGTATGTTCTGGCATAACTCCGTCTTATATAAAAGGCTTTTTAAAATTCTTTTTTTGTTCGAAAGGGGTTTATCCGAACGGCGAAAATTCGAAAATTATCATTTACATTTCATTTAAATCTGATGATGAGTTTCCGCGACAGAAAACTGAACTGTTCAAAAAATCTTAACTATCTATTCACGTGTTATCGCCTTTTTTACCATAATCATGTATGTATAAACATTTGATTAATATGGGAAAACCCTGTTCTACGTGTAGAGATGATATCAAATATTATAGGCACATAAGTAGTGTTTGTTCTAATTAAACATACCAAATTGAAGAGGGCATATTACGAATATGAATTACACATTGAATCCATTTGGGTATATATACTGACAAACAAATACAAAGTACACGATCCCCAAAGAATTTTAGACAGACATCAATATTTAAGTACATGTTATATTTTAGCTGAACTAAATTATCATATTTATAATACCATATGTAGAATAAACAAAGCTTACGCGTTACTATTATTCCCGTGAATGTCGCAGAAGCAGTGTTTGGTTTTGTGACTTGTGATTATTACCTACGGATACTATAAAAAGGACAAGGAAAACTCTCCTGATTGTATTCCGATTTGAATTAGGTAGGTACATGGGAAAAAAATACCTTGATATTGTTGGTGTGATTTTCCTTCTTATGCTTTTCTCTCCGAGTGAACTTAATTCCATTTTGAAACTGAAAAAAAAACGATTACATATAGTTATAAATTGAGTAAATGGGTATACACTTGTATTTTGGTAAATACATTTTTTTAATTTCATGAAATAAGTCTATTTTTTAATAATTTTGCTTTCCTTGTCAGGATTACATTTAACACACTCGCAAACTATATACTCACATACATCAACTTCAGTTGCAATATTATTAAACTTAGGCAGACAAACGCGTGTTAAAAAGGTGAAAATAAGACAGACATAAAATTTCACTATCTTTGTTCTTATCAATAACCTGCAAAAAACACATTAAGCAAAATTTGTATAACTAATAGGATAGCTTACAAGTAATTTCTTCTGACCAATTAAGTACTTCGTTCTTAGAGAAGGCAACAGTTAAACTAACGACAGGGGAAAGTAGTTGGCATCAGGTGGGTCCAATGTAAAATGTTATCGTTTGAGAAATGTTTTAAACATTTTGCATTATAATATATTAAAAATTCGCTTCACGTGTTCCAAATAAATACGACAAAATACTCTTGAAATCATCAGAATACAAAATTTTATTCGGTGAAAGTGTCACGTGTACAAACATGTTGTTTTCAATTTCACGTTGAATAATCATTGTCCGTGTGTTTTCTATGTTGTTCAAGTAGTCTTTATCGGTTAAACAACTTCACAAAAACTCCTTGTGGCGTCACTCAATTTACGGAAACCTCTTCTTTTCTTTAGCAGGAGTTATTGCTAACTTAATTAATCACAAGAGGTACTAATATTTTAGTAAATTCTGTGGCCTCCTAATAACGGAAGGTGTGCACTAGCCAAAACCTTATTTTTTGTATGAAATGATTTTAAAGTGCACAACATCTTTTCTTAGAGGTCCTCAAAACATAAATAAATAAACCAACATTATGCTGACGTTTACGTTTTCAAGTTTTTGTTTCTTCTAATTATTACATCACCTCATGTTGAACTTGCGTTTATAACCCCTATTTAAATGTGATAATACGTGTTTAATTTAATTTATAATACAGTTTCGTATTTTACTTTCAAATATTACACAATCATTTACGTTATGTACACATTCATAAGGACGCGTTAAAAGAAATGGGAAATCTTGCGAAATGGGAAATGCTTATATTATATTATCCAATTAATATTAATACTTTTTTTATTTAAAGATAAATATTAAACGCTAAATGCGATAATTAACATTGCGAAATTTGGATTAACAAAAATCAGTTTTGTAGCAAACAAAAGTAGATGCCTACAAGCAGGCGCCGACATTCAACCACGGTCACGTATGGTATTTTCGATGGTGTAGGAGGCAAACGAGGAGACTTGACACCTGTGGGCGTAGTGTTAGTTTATTTCACATCAAGTCGTGCGTCACGTTGACCGCGTTCGCAGCTGCGATTGGTTAACATTTCAAAACGGGCCAATCGCAACTCCGAACGCGGTCACCGTAACTATAGAGTACATGTAAAATAAACTATCGCCTCCCAGGAACGCCTGCAAGACAAAAGTCACAAGTGCGTTGTGAAATTCAAAGAAAGAACGGATTAACATCGATCTTCTGTAAAGCCCTGAGCCGTCTCCCACATAAAAGTCTAGAGGACAACTAGCAAATAATTGTAATTTCTCGAGAAGAAAGTCATAGTGTTGCGAGAATGTTTTGGTAACGGTTATTATTATTATCATAAAGTACTTAGTTTTCACCTTGGTAATATAAAACAAAAACAGATTGAATGTGGCAAATAGCCATACTAATTTAATCTCACGATCTAGTACTTAGCACTTGTTAGAACAATTTTTTAACGTCTCATTAGTTCAGCACGATTCACTGTGCGGCGCCCTTAATTGCACGATTTTTGGTAAAAGACTTGTCCAGAAATGATTTTTTATTGTTGAAAAATGCCTATAGCGGTGAACAAAATAATTTTGGATAGACTTTCTAAGAACTAATTTTATAATTTATAAAATGAAATTTTAAATTACTACAATTATGAGAAAGTATTGTTTTTAATTTTGCATATACATATAGGCCGAATGCGTACAAAATTTTTGATACCAGTGCTAGACAAAAAATAGAACGAGAGGTTTAACAACTGTCTCTGACGCGTCACACGTTACAGATGAATTACGGTGTTTGTGTACCTACTTGTTGTCAGTTTGTTTTGTTTTTACGTTGACATTTTTTTGAGATTTCTAAAGTCTGTTTTTTAATCTCGTAGACTAAACTGACATTACGAGTGTTGTCAGTTTATTGCAATTCTTAAATAGTGATGTGGCACAACCGAAACTTAGCGTTAATAAAATCAAGTATCGTTTTTTTACAATAAGTTATCCTGAAATAATGTGTAGGTACTTATTTAAAACGTAATAATACAAAATTAATAATGTAAAACATATATTTTTAATTAAATAACTTAATTACAGGTATTCGCGTTAATCTGATTCAGATAATGACTCCATGTCTGAGGAATATTATGAGTCATCAGAATCGCCACCTACTTCTATGATAAACCTATCAGTAATGTCGTCGGTTATATGGCCCAGATGACACATTTGATCTTCAATTTTAATTACATGGACTACACAGTCTTTCCACCGCTGCGGGGTCACTTGACGAAGCCCTTCTTCAAAAAGGCTTCGTACTTCATTCATTTTGAATGTTTTATTATTTTTAGTGACATGCCCCTTTACTTGACCAACTCAATCGTTCGTATTACGTATTCGTACAAATGTTCGTATGGTGTCAAGTTCCATAATTGCCGTATTTTTTAAGTTCTGCCGTTTCGTAAGAGAAAAGGGTTAAGATTTTTTTTTTTTTTTATAATAATAATTTTTTTTTGTTTAATTTAAAGGCATCGAAACATGGTCGGGTTACGCATGGCGTTGCGTGGTCAGATTTCCCTGGCAGTTTGTAGCACGTAGTGCAGCCGTGTGTACGTACGTGAATTTTAAATGTAAAACTTTGAATGAAAATTAAATTCGTCTATTATAAATAAAAAGTTACGATTCAACTAACCGGTATCGTAGGTACAACACTGCACAAAAGAGCTGGCAACATTATTTATAAATTTGACATTTGCATGTGTCAATTTAGTCTACGAGATTAAAAAACAGACTATATAATATAAAGAGAAAATTATAGACTCCATCGCGTTACCTACTATTGATTTATCTTATGAATAAACAATAGTATTTGGTAGGTATCCTCCAATAAAAATATCTAATAATTTAAAATAACTTTTAATGTTTCTCTTAAATTTAGGATTTAAAATTTGTTAGCTAATTCCTTATTTTAGCTGCTATATTAAACAATTTGAGCGATAATGGACTTTACTCGGAATAAAAAACCAACGTCCATACAAAAAGTGCACAACTCCTTTGGGGAAGCCTGTTTAAGGAGGAAGCTTTATGCAAGAAATATCTTCAGGTGACATACGACATGGGGATGAGGTCAGGGTTGGCTATCAGGAGCTGAGAATCTGTGAACTTCTAAGAAATGCAACGAGTCATCTGATTAGAGTAGGCCGTAATCATATCTTAAGCATTGTTAAAGTTGGACGAAGGATAAATATTTTCCCAAAATAGAATAGGCCTTTAACAATGTTGAGCAGAACCGTGAAGGATATTACCGTAGTTAGACCAACTACGGTTAATTAAATCATTATATTTAACGTAAAGGACGTTGGATAGAATGATTTATATTTAGATACCGTGATATTACAGTTAATTAGATTCTTTACAAAGTCCTATTTTCGTCGGAGTAATAACAAAGTATAAATATAAACTGTATCAGTATTTATTGTAATATTTTTGATAAATATTCAATTTTGGAAAATGCCTTTGTATGTAAGATCCCTGCTTTATGTCGATACATATTTGACGGTGACACGGATTAAGAATACGGAGTGTCACTACCCCTGTTCATCCCGTAGGTGCCGTAAGAGTCGTCTCGGGAGTAAACTACGCAGGATAACAACACTGCAAAGAGAAGAAAACCTTAAAACAAACCCTATACCAACTCGTCTGGTCAGCGTGGTATAGTAGGCCCAAAACCTCCTTTTTCAGGAGAGACCTATGTTCAGCAGTGAACTATTAAAAACTGGTGATGATATTCTTACTCTAGAAAAAATTGCTTTTAAACTTACTGCACAATGAAAACAGCCAAATAGCGAGGAGGGCGGCGAAAGAGTAGTATTAGAGGGTGACACAGCAACCTCACTGGAGTCTGGCAGATTGCACTTGCCCACCACCTGCAAATCATAAAATAACGCAATGTTCAACTGTTGATTATCACAACAAACTAGTTTGTTGACCTGTGAGTACGTGCTTATTATTCACATTCACACACATTAAATATTTACATTCTCTCTAATAAAATCCTGGTTCTTGTTCCAAAACCAGTTCATTAAACACTTAAAATTACTTTTTATTATATTGCTGTTGAATTAGGATACCCACGGGAAATTAATTCACTCCTGCCTTTTCCTAAAAACTATTAAGTACTTTCGTTACTAGTAGCCATCCCGTCCGACCCAGGTCAATATTTACAAATAATTTCATACTTATATTATGATTATATACACATATAACCACTTCGACATAGTTATTTACATTTATTTTCAGTTTTATGAAAATGAAAAATTAATTTGCCAAACTGATGCGAATTATTGTGAGATTGCGACATTTTAAGAAAACTTTCGACCTCTCGAAAACTCAGTTTTTTTCTCACGTCTTTAACAGTGCCGTTTTTTGCGAAGTTTGTAATGTTGACAGTTGCACTCAAAACAAAACAACGCGTGAGGGGAGGCTTTATTTTATAATAATTTATTTTTTAAATTACATGAAAATGTTATTAATAGTACATTTTTTTAAAGGATAATCAAGTAATTTTAATTGGTTTATCATTATGTACAGCTAAGTCATTTACATAACGGTTTATTATCGAAATCTGTAAACGTCAGGAATGGCTTAGGGCTCATGCAGCGTGCAAGCGATGTCGCGCGCCTTCAACTCAACTCGACTCGACATGATAAAACATATATTATAGAACTAAACTAGTGGTCGCGAGACTTGCAGCGGCCACTCGCTAGAGGTGTTTTGGGCAACTTTTTTGTCATCTATTTTATTACAACAATTGATGCAGGAGACTCAATAGATACAATTCGTAACCGATAAAAATGTTTGATGGCAAGAATCCGTAAAACCGACTTATCTAGAAAAAACAGAATATTCCAACAATGCAAGTTCTGATAATAATATCAGAACTTTTATTGTTGGAAAATTCTGTAGAAGAAAAAGAGTACTAAGAGTACCGCTCTTACTACTATTCTTCACGAAACTTAACAATAAGAATGTTCAGTATTAACCCCAAATAGGTAACTAAATTTGAATTTCCATCGATCGGTCGCAAGTAATCGCCTGCACGCTACACTACTTTTCGTACTTTTCGTTTGTCCAGGGTGGGAATTAAATCCACGTCCTCTGGCTTAGCAGTCAGGGTCACTAACCACTAGAACAAAAGGCCAGTCCATAACGGTAGGCCAGTAATAATTGTTGATTAAATTACACTAACATAGCAATTGTACATTGTTATCGTGATATTTATAAAAACCGATTTATTCTTAGGTTTACTTCTTAAGCTTCCATTCACTAAAAGGAACCTTATGATATCACTTTGAAGTTAATCAAGACACTTTCTTAGAAACACGTTGACGAAATAAGTTGAAATTAACATGAGGCCTATTTATTATATTTACGATTCCGCGAAGTTGTAAGAAGTCGTAGGCGGTTTTTTAAATATATTTTTTTAACAAATTTTAATATTTAAAGAAATTATAAATCTTATATATTTTATATAAAAATAACTTTTGTACGCAGCGTGCATGTAAGATTATTTCCAAATGGGAAAGTTAAGTTTGTCTTCGAAAATCGAAACCCGAATATGAACGAACCTGCAATATGCAAGTTTCAAAGAAACTAGTTTTACGATGCAGACTCGTGCTTATTTAGATAGTAAGTAGTTTATTGATAACTAGGCGTAGCCCCCAGGTTTACCTGCGTTGATGGTTATAACATTGCTCAAGATTTGGGCTAATTCAAACACAAATACATATAATGTTCAAATCCTTCCGCTAATTCTGGAGATTCGAATTCAACCAAGGAAAAAAGCTCTTCAGCTTTATGAGTTTTGGTACAGATAAGTTCGGAATATTTTAAAATTAAGACAAACATAGATTAGTTTCGGAAAGAAATAATAAGTAATAAAAATATTGAAGTGAGTTTATAATCAAAACGTTTTGTAACTGGTTTAGTTAAACTAGAACAAAAAAATAATTTATTTTACTATGCACTGCTGGATATCTTATTAAATCTTTAATACTAAGTATGATAACCTTGGCCGGACAAGCAGATGTGGTGCCCAAAGTGCGTGCCCTAACACATAACAAGTCTGGTTAGACATTCGGGTACCTACATATTTAGATTAAAACTGATTTTATTTTGTTTTATAACACCTGTTTGTTCAATTCACATAATGACTTGCTTAATTCTGTTACATATTTATACATGTATAAGTATGTTGTCATTCTAACATTCAATAAGTATTTATTATACATTTCATTATGTCAATCAAATTTATATATCTACGACGTGGATATAACGATGAATTTAGTGTAAACAGGTTAATTGATCTAAAATTCGTATTTAGTTTATCTGATGAATAATGATAATAAATAGATAAGCTATTATGTATGTATATACATGGGTGATCTTATAATGTAACTAACGAGACTCAAGAAACTTTGACAAGCGTATCTTGTTAAACGCTCCGTCGTTACTGTGATGGCTAAATAAGGCTCTATCATGTGTGAAGCTGGCTAAAGCAAAGACGATGCGTCACGATGCCTCGCTAGCAGAAGTATTGATTCTGTTTGAGAAACCGAGTTGAATGCACCAGAGTACGGCGTTCGTGGCCTTGTCAGTGTGCACACGCACGTCGCCACTGTCGCGTAGTATTGTGATAACGGCGCCTCTCGCCAGCAACCGATACTCACATTCACATTTGCTGTTCCATCTGTTTTATAAAGTGCAGAGTAACTCTCCGGCGGGAAATTAAACTGAACTGATGACATCTTATCTGGATTCCACGACACTACTAACACAGGGTTTAAGCACAAGATCACAAACACTTTGCACTATAACGCTATATGTCCGGCAATGGGGATTCCGTCTACTCATTATTGTTTATTGATCAGCGTCGCACAAACCGGATGGCGACGGAATCGCGAACACAGGGAGCGAAGCGTTACAACGCTGTGGCACACCGTCGGCGCCTTTACAAACGCCGATTATCATTCCTTATGCTGATAATGAAAACGTTAATTTCCCGTAAAATTACTTATGGTCTCGGTGTACGACGTTTGTGCGCTATCGACAGCGAACCTTATCGCGAAACCGGCCGCGTTGCGACTGGTTATACGAGACGTGTATTTGTTGTCAGTTTTAACACTGGAGACTGCGGGTATGCGTTCCTCATTCCATTATTTATACTATAAGTATAACCTACACAATGTTCAATAAATAAACAATTGAACGTTGTGTGCACGTGGTATTAGTGTTATAGACACATTAGTGAAACTCCTAATCATTTCGTCCGATGTAAGAAATATAAATTGTCTATTATAATATGGGATCACATTTATTATTTGCAATTTAAATTTCAGGTATTTTTATGCATAAAATATAACTACCATGACAGTCACAAAACGTCCTACTATTATAGCGATCCATGAATTCTTAGTGGTTATCCTCATTATATACGTAATTATTTATAATTACGTACCTAATGTAGGGATCGGTTATAGCCACGTATGAAATATTCCTCTATTTGTATCATACACATCACATTTACCAACACAGACTATAGTTACATGCCCGTGGTATAATCACCCATCCATCATAATTTGAATAAACAGCTTGGATTGCTTCGCTAGGAACCGCTGATCAACGTCGGATAATAATTTCTCTTTCTTTCTTCTTCTTTCTTTCTTTGGAACGAAATACCTCAAGTTCCAAAGAATTTTTGATTTCCTACCTAATTTCTCTTCACACACCACATAAGCAAACACAACACTTAGGTCATCGACACCCGCCGAAATGCTTATCTGAGTCTATTTGAAGTCAAACAAAATTATAATCATATTTTCAAACGTAGTTAAATACCCACGAATATACCTACCTAAAGCATGGGGCTTATTCATAAATGAGGACTTCTAGAAAGAATCAGAATTCGAATTGCAAACGTTTATTCACTGTTTTGTGCGTTAAACATACGCTTGAGTGTATAAAAGATTTTTATTTTCGTTTATTTTGTCAAATATGTGTTGTACTATCTAACTGTTCTAAAACGTAGGTACGTCAGAGTCGTAGAAAAAAAAACCTTTTTTTCGTAATTAATATGGGTTCGTTCGTATCGTAATAATTATTTTAAAGACAAATTATTTGCATATTTATTCGTAGAACACGTATTGGACAAAATAAACGAAAACAAAAATGGATACGGAACACAAGGGGTGTGGATTACAGCACGCTCGTCGGGAACACAACGGTTGCGTATTATACGCACTGCCGACTATTCACAATACCCCAGTGCTGAAAACACACTTTCCATACATCAGTTAGCAGTCTAAGGTTATTTCTTATATATTACAGGCAGCAGTGAACGTGCTGTTTTATTTAGTATGCTCCATACATTACACCAAGCAAGAAACGTCTACTTAAAATACAGATTAAGGAAAATACAGCACCGTTATGGTTGAGGCGCTTGGATTACGCCATTTTTTTACAAATTCACAATAAGCCACTTCTATTTTTTTATACGTTTTATCAGTCACTCTGATTATTATGCCACAGATTTATGTATGGATAGACTATTTATAAATAATGCATAATTATCATAAATAGTTAATGTAACTCAGATGAAGGAAAGACATCATATGTGGTGATTTAAATTAAGTAATTTTTCTGAATATTCAATCCATCTGCTTTGCTTATAATCCAATATTGAAAATTGTTGGGCAAGAATTATGAATAGGAAATGAAACACAAAATCATGTATCTTTAAAATTATTTAATTTGTTCCTTATAACATTTTTATTACTTTATGCAAAATTTAGAAACATTAAAATTTGTGTCGAGTTATCGACACACACAGGGTTCTAAAATAAATATTAAAGCATGTGACTTGGGGATGAGCAAATCTTTCAATGTAAACAGAAGATTAAGATGGAAACTACATAATAAAATTCACAAACTCTGTTATCAGATCATATGACTGGGGTTTATAGTTGGACAATGATATCACGAGCTTGTTTAAAACAGCTATTTAAGTTGACTCCGTGATCGGTCAATGGGTCTGGAGAACTGTGTTGGTGTAGATGAGTAGTTGAATGGCTCTCTGCATATCTCCGTCTCGGTTGACCCTCTGTAGTCGCTGTAACGTGCTGTACACAGCGGCCGCAGCGCCAGCGCTCCGCAACACTAACTTTGCCTGCGCAACAAACATATATTTGTTAAGAAACTTAAGTTAATCCTGAACACCTCTACATAGAAAGTAGTATAAATGTGTTAAACAGAGGTTTGTGCAAATTATTTAATTTTCAGCCTTTTATTGTATCACCATGTTGTTATTGTTTTACTATCGCCAAAAGTAAAGGTTGTTATCCTTTTAAGTCACAAGTCACGTGGAATATTGTTGACTGAAACAAAAAAATAATACAGACAGATTTTTAAAGAACTTTAAGTATGGTACTCATGAGCCAATTTTTTTTAGGTACATAATGCATTGTTTTGGAGTTTTTTAATTGGAATGCAAAGTATTCCGGTTCATGGTTAACTGTCTGTATAACAAGATCCGTCAGTTAATAAAAATACAACAAAAATAGATTAGACTTTTAAAGTTTATTTCATGAAAACGTCTCTCTCGTTCGCTTGTGAAACTCATCAAAACTGGTTAAAAAATAAATGGAAATGAAATATTATGATAAAATATTAAATAATAAAAAATAATACAAAATGTTACCTTAATTAGAACCTGTTTCAGTTAGCTCTATTATGCCCTATTTCAAATACATAACAGAATATCGAGACAGGTCAGCATAATAATATATATATATATATATATATATACTCATTCTCCGCTGTCTCTAGTGATACACAAGAACGACTACTATATTAGATTTGATAATTGGTTTTCTCATGCACGATGACTACTAAGTTTTTTTACATTTCTAGCTTTCTTCATAGAAATTGCTAATATTTGACATTAAGCGAAAAACCTTTTAGAGTATCATAGGCCCTTTTAGAGTCGTATATTTCAATTCGTACCTTTCTACTGCCGGGCCAAAAACAAGCTTCTTTAATATTTTTATTTCACAAAATTGAACACCGATTATATGAAACTGTCTTTTGTTTTTCTTCATTCATTATTTTATATAAAAAATATACTTAGATGAACATATAGACAATCACTGTAATAACAGTCTAATGTTATGAATATAAAATTATAAAAAAAGTGTAATGTGTCAATGAACAACCGCTAGTTGCCCAATAGGTAAGCTAGTAAAAAGAAATTAAGTAAACCAGTGAGTGCAAGAAGACAAAGCCAAGAAGTCGGAGTGAGTATACGCACCTTATGATTGTTAGCGGCTAGAGCCCAGATAGCACGCGCTGCCGAAACGATCTCGATTGTGTCACCGGCGAGCAACGTGTCACATAACAACTCTAGCAACTCGGCTGTAAACATAAGAAAACATTAGCACAAAAGCCGTCTATTATATAGGAGGTCATCGATGAGAACACCCAAATATTATTAAAATTCACGAAATTTATTTTTCCGAAAGTCGTAAATGCGCTTTGTTTGTATTCCGATTTTTATACGTTCGAAGAATCAAATGCCCGATGGGTTTAGGTCTAAAAAATGATGTTCCGATTTTCAATACTTCGAATAAACTGCTAAAATTAGGATTCAGATTTTGATTCAGTTACGCAAATCTATAAGTAGCGTTTAATATAATTTAAAAAAGTCAACTATGTTGTTTATATTTGTGTATTTATAAAATAAATTGTGCTTTCTTCTCCTGTGTCTCCTTTATATGTGCCTGCGTCGTTTACCATTTAGTGTTATTGAATTTTTTGGGTTAGGTTAGAACTGTGACCATTAAAACGGGAAGGCGAGTGAGCGTCGCGAGCGTGACGCGACAGTGGTTGACGAGCGCCAGATTTCCTCTATTGTTGGTGAATCATTTGGGTTGAACTGTGTGAAAGTTAGAACTAGAGAAAGAAAATATTTTGATTCGAAAAAAATTTGAATTTTTTATGTTTCGAATTGTCATTGAGTCGGACTTTTTGTTATTAGATCTATTGGAAGTCGGTATTTTGAGCACAGTAATTATAAACGTTAGGAATGTTAAAAATTTTGAATTATAAAATAGGGTGAATAAATCGCAGTTGCTATATTAGTAATTTTGAACCATTCGGAATCAATCGGTATTTTGAAATTCGTATTGTGACTGACGGAATAAAGTGTTTCGTATATATGTATATATTTGCGTACCCGTCATCGATATGTATTTTATTTATGAAAGTCGTTTCGTCAGCAAGCGTTACCGTAGCTACGATGCGTTCGTGCTAATTATATAAGCTAGCACCGAAGACTCACGGGACTGTAGGAAGGTCTGCCTGTGATGGTGCGCGGCGTGCGCTATGGCGGGCAGCAGCGGGGCGCGGGCGGCGGGGGGCAGCGCCGAGGGGGCGCCGGGGCCCGCGCGCGCCGCCAGCAGCGCGCCCGCGCCGTCCGCGTGCCGCGCCAGCGCCTCGCACAGCCGCGCCCACGCCGCGCCCGCCGCGCCCGACCCGCGCACCCGGCTGCGGAGGCACAGCCGGTGCAAACTCACCGGCGCATCGCTCTGTATTTATAACCCTTCGTTAGCTTCACTCGTTTACTGCATTTCATTATAAACGTTCAATTAAATTAGAAATAAACGGTAAACGTCTATAAACGGTTATAAGTGTGTCGTTCGCCATACTCGAAGAGAAACGGGCGTAAATAACCGTACCTTGAGTATGATGGCGCGACAGTGGTGGTGCGGCGCGAGGCGGCGCAGCGCGTGCAGCGCCAGCGGCAGCGCCGGGTGCGGGCGCGAGGCGGCCTGCAGCGCGGCCTCGCGCGCCACCAGCGCGCACACCTCGCCCGCCAGCGTGCGCCCGCCCACGCACGAGCTGGCGCCTGCCCACGCTGCATTCGCAACAATATGTTGTATATTTTGTCGACCGTTGTTTTATACTTGTTAAAGGTTTCGATTTAAAAATAAATTATATCATATAGCATCACTCGTACTACTTTCAAAAGTCGCATATCGCCTTACGTGACCCAAACGCTCAGTGGTTTTGTGTGTGATTCTTTCTTTGTGTGTGTGGGATTCTTTCTTTAAAAATGCAACTCCCGCATTAGGAAAATATCCTGTGTCGCGATAGACTTTCCAAATATGAGATCAACAATTTGTGGATCACACAAAATGTTGTCCGATATAGGGATCGAACCCACACAGCGCAGTAGGAAGCGGCAAGGCCGGTGGCCGCATAAAACCCTACGCACTGCACTGCAGGCGACAACACCGATTACCAAAACAGGTCTTAAAAATTCTTATTCTAATTTAAAAAAAAAGCGATACGAGCACCACCAGCAAAACAGCACCACGCACCTTTTGGACAATTATTAGTAAATGTATACAACAAGTGTATAACGGCGTGCCGCAGCTGCTCTGTCATCATACACCACGGCCACAGTCTGCACAAAGATATAACCAAGTTCTCCTCTGCGAAGCTTTCTTTGGCCGCCGAACATTCAACCATACAACAGTCGATGACTGTGAGTACCCAGTACAATGTGCGAAGAACGGGACTCTAAAAGACAAATCAATACTGTTAAATGAATGTAAATATATAGACGAGAGAAAGATATATAGATTAGTTGTTTGGATTATGCAATTCAGATATTATGGATATATGTTTAGTTCATAAATATAATGGTTATTTTTAAATAATACATTAATAAAAAATAAAAGTAAAGTAAAAGCAGGTAGCCCCGGCTAGTGAACTGTTGAGAATTCAATTGGTTCTTAATATTGTTTACATCTAGTTTTTGTGTATGTAAGAATATTAGGTATATTTTGAATAACTGAACCCGTAACAGAAGATAATGTAACTAAGATTACGCTAAGATTCACTAATGACTGAACAAGTCACGAAATAGTCGTGCGTTTAGCTGTTCATATCGTCAAACGCTGATTAATTATTGATTTGGCTAAATCACCGAATTGATCATAATAATATGATCAAGTCGGTGATTTGACTACGACATAATTATAAATATTCGTCATCGTGAACGTTAGACACGAACGCAGAACCGATAAATTGTTAATTTTAATTTGTTTGTGTAATCAATTTAAAAAGTTAACTGTGTTAAATTTGTTTTAACTCTGTAATAAACTAAACTGAATCTAAATAATGTAATTGCAAAATGCAATTAACATTTCAGTGTGATTCATATCAATGGGATTTAAATTAATTGCAGTTATTTTTTAATCAATTGACACTGATTAAATATTGAATTGATTGATGTCCGACTCTGCTGTATATATTAAGTGTTTAAGTGTAACGCAAATCAATTTATTTTGTTCTATTCTATTTTATTCATATTTACTCTAGATTCGATTCTAGATATTTTATTCATATTTAAATATTAGATGTTTATGTAGTTAGGTCCGTGATAGCAATATTATTATTACTCGTAGTAATGGTCCTTAACGAATTTCTGAATAATACTGAATGACGGTGCTAGTCGGATAGTAGATCGTATTCATTTAGCAAGCATCTGTTAGTTCTTGTAATATGATCATTTTACTTTTATTAACTGTCATTTATATTTATTTTTAACCTTTTTCTAATTCTATTTTACATTCTGGAAAATTAACAAGAGAAAGTACAATTAATGAACAATAAATCATAAATTTTATTATCAATGATGAATCGTACTAACGGAAGATTTAACAATGAAAATAATCTACTTATGTCTATAGCATTTCAACACATTCCCTTATATCATTGACACTTCTCGTTCACGTCTCTTTGCCAGCTTTAATCTTATTTAGCCAAAACATACTTTTGTTAAGTTTATCGTATACAGGTAATGTACAATACATTTGCTTTGAAAAATTTGACTTTGACAGGCAACGTCACGAAGCTTATGATCCCGCATCCACTTGTCACATAATATACTATTTTCTAACCCTCTTCACCGTGTAAGATAATTTATAGATGGAGGTGTATTCGTGAAAATTACAACCTCCCAACAGCCTATATAATACGATATGTTACAAGTTCCTCACGTTGTTAGCATTCCGGATGACATCCGCAGGCTTCCCCAACATGGAGAGGTGGTCGCGCACGGCCTGCAGCGTGCCCAGCAGCGCGCGCGGCAAGGCGCGGTGCACGCTGTACGCGCGGCTGCGGGCGCTCGCCGCGCACGCCCACGACAGGCACGAGCATACCCGGACCCAACGGTCATCTGATACGAGCGATCAACACTACATCATTTGTTTGTAAATAAGTACATACGATCAGAACTTATGATTAGATAACATTCAGTTCGTTACTGGCTATTGTTTCCCAACTATTCTAGTCACGCGAACGATTCCCTTATCGCAACCTTCCATATCAAAAAATATTAAATGTACACAATCTATACACATTAAAAGTGCTTCATTTTAATTATTAGCTTTGTTTTTTTTATTCTTGAACTACAGTTTCAAATTAAAACAAATCATTGAAATCAAAAACACATGCATATGGATTTCGTTCTCGTTAATGTTCTATTTACGTGTAAAAAAAAATCGAATTGGTTGAAAACTGATGACAATAAGTTGGTTACCGGTTACATTCAATGGCGTATATCTAGATCCTCCTTTAAAGTGTGAAATAATATATTTCATCTCTAATTATTTCGGTTTAACTGTGTTTATAAGCTGTTTCTTTTTAAATATACATAGATAAGTATAATATACAGGAATGAACGATACCTTGACTAGACAGATATTTCTTATCTTTCAATGACAAATTGTGATATAAATTTATCAACGCTTTACAGAGCTCTTCTGAAATATACTCCGGCTGACAGTCGACATTTCTTGGGCTATCGCCAGCACCAACTTTATCACTTTTTATCCCATCCCAATAAGGAGACTTCAAATTGTCATAAAATTCGGAACAGGACTCGTCCTGGGACTTGTCTACGTGTTTCTTGTTAGCCATGGATTGAGCCAGCTGGGTGAGACAGTACAGCGCCGCATCTTGAAGTTCTGTGAAGTTTAAATTGTTTTGTTTCTAATAAAAGTAAAATAATTTTTCAAACAGCAATTTGACGTTAAGTAAATAGGATACATGTACAGAAACTTTAGTATAACAGTTCATTTTATATGTTTAATAGCCGTCTTTCTAATACATTGTCATCATCATCAACAGTCTTAGCCAGTCCACTGCTGGACATAAGCCTTTCCGTAGAAAGAAGGTTCTGGCTTACTACACCACACTGGCCAGACGGGTTGATATCAAGTTTTCTTTGACTTAGCAGTATTGTTGTTCTGCGTAGCTTGCTGCCTAAGTCGACTCTTACGACACCCATGGGATGAATATGAGTGGTGACACTCCGTATTCTTAATCCGTCACCATCACTGAAAGTTATAATTGTTCTAAATAATATAAGTAGATTCAAATTATATAATTCAATACTATATAGGTATTGTTGTTGTACTATATAGGTAGGTGTTTCATCCTTTCATACATATGTCATACATTTGATATAATATAATAAGCCCATGGACGCAAGAATAGGTTTAATTAAAACAAAAAGTTTTAAATATTAAATTATATCTTCGCCAGAATGTGTTGCAACAATAGTCTTCTAGTAAAATGATAAAAAATATTCATGTTGATTAATATCACACACACCTATCTCATCGTTGTCCAGACATTGCAGTAACAAATGAAACAACTGCACTGTTTTCACGTCCCTGAGTTGTGTCCAAAGGCTGTCCACAACACTACGCTCACCCAGTAGCGCTCCGAGAACAGATAAGCCTTGCTTACGCGCCTCTATACACTCCACCCCGATATCATCTGGAAATATTTATAAAAGATTTGTATTTGACAAAAGAGAGATTGTCTCTATTGTGTGTATGACTTTAGAGTCTACACAAGAGACGATTTCAAATAATGTATTTTTTTTTATGAAATAAAGATATTTTGAGTTTAAGTTTCTTAGAATCAAACTTCTTAATAGTTGCAAAATCTTTTTAGATAAAAAAGAAGAAAGATATTTAGTTGCAAATGTTTTATACTCCGAGTTATAAAGCAGTTGCTACCCTTACAATTGACAATAAGTAGTTTATGAATTACGTCATTACAATAACCCATAATAATAAATCCAAATATGGCAACTTATCTACTAAACACCATACACAAATAGCTCGTAAGTAAATAACTCCTAATAGTAAACCATCGCCATGCTCGATCAAAGGTTTCGCTGAAGTACTGACGCCTATTTAAAAATGTTTTTCTTTGGTCTCAAAACAAAAATTATGTGATGGGTAATTAAGTCCGTAGGAAAAAAACTCAGTTAGACTTTCAAGTTACATGTATATGACCTTCACTTACTTCTTCTTACCTTTCATTCCCCGAACCATCCGTGTCAGACATATTCCTTTTCTACCATTTATTTTCCTTTCAATATACTTACAATTTGCCCATCTAATCCACAAAATGACCACTTGGCGGCAAAAGTTTACTTACGGTTTGCCCCTTGTTAAGTAAGTGGGACTAAAATTATAGTGTGCTTTCCTTACCCGTATTGACATATTACATCTTCAAAAAACACGTCAGGTATGATGATGTCACAGTATTTAACGATTATTTATACAATTTCAACAAAAATCTAATCTTATCTGATTAACTAAAGAGCTTATCAAAAGCAAAACGCAAATACGTCATAGCTAATTATTATTATGCTAAGTGCTTAACATTTTTCACACAGCAGTCGTTGTTAACTTGTGTCACCATTCTCAAACACATACATAATACATTGTACCATAATTTTACGTTTGAGAACAAAATAAGGATGGTGCCAAACTTGATATACAATTAAAAAGTCAAAGCAGCCAGCCTTCCTACCTTCATCAAATGCTGTCAGCGTATTTATCAGGTTGTGAAGACAATCCTTGGTTGCTGCAAGGGAGACCCGAACACATTTATGTGACGTCACTGCAAGAAGAGCGCGACAAGCAGCAGCGCGCACTTGATGAGTACTTCTTACTGCAGCACCAGACCAGGAAGAACATCTGATTGTATGTGAAGAAACATTCATAAATATTACATGGCATTACTGAAAGATTGGGAACAAATACATATTTGAATCCTGTTTCACATGAAACGCTAAATAACTTACATTCAGTCAAAAAAGTATCGGGAATGGATGATTTGTTTATGGTTCCAAATTCAAATTTTTGTTTTTTTTGTTGTTGTTAGATTGGCACAACTGTTTTCCATTTTGGAGCGGAGTTTGAGTTGCATCTGTTATTTATATTAAATACAGTGCTGTTTTTAGTTATATCATATCTAGTGTGTATTGCGAATTTCATAATGGACAAAAACATCGAACAAAGATTTTGTCTTAAATTTTGCATCGCCAATGGAATTTAGTGTTCGGTGTCACTGAAAATGTTACAGAAGGCTTACGGTGAATCGACTTCATCAAGAACACGTGCTTATAAGTGGTAAAAAGCGTTCAAAAGCGGTCGAGATGTGATGGAAGATTTGACTCGTTCTGGTAGGCCATGATCGTCTGCAACTGAAGTTGACATCGCAAAAGTAAAGGAAATAGTGACTGAAAATCCTCATTCAACTTAGAGAGAGATAGCCGCCGAACTTTCTGAATCTCACGAGTCGATCCGTACCATTTTAACTAATCATTTGGGTATAAAACATGTTACCGCTTGGCTAGTCCCAAAAGACCTGAATTTTCTCCAAAATCTCAATCGCATGAGAGTCGCTGAGGACATGCTAGCACGAGTCAATTCCGACTTAACATTCATGAAACGCATTGTTACTGGTGACGAGACGTGGGTTTACGAGTTTAACATACAAACTAGTCAACAAGCTTCGGAGTAGCGCCTTCCAACTGAACCGAAACCGAAAACCACGCCAAAGTCAATCAAAAGTCAAAGACATGTTGACTGTTTTCTTTGACTATCGCGGTATTGTGCACTTGGAATTCTTACCGGCAGGTCAAACGGTAAATAAAGAATATTTGAGCGTTATGCGGCATTTAAGAGAGCAAATTCGACAAAAAATACCAAATATGTGGAAAGGAAATTCTTGGATTTTGCACCACGATGATGCGCCTTAACACAAGGCCATCATTGTGAACGAATTTTTGACCAAACACAACAAATACCATCGAGCAACCACCATATTCACCAGATATGGCTCCAGCCGACTCCTTTCTTTTTCCTAAACTCAAATTACCACTTCGTGGCACCCGTTTTCAATAGGTAGAAGACATAAAGGAGAATTCGCGGCGAGAAGTGAACTCAATTCCGGAAACAGCGTTTAAATATTTTTTTTATGATTGGATTATTCCGTGTATTGATTGGATTATTAAGTGTATCGTTTCTGAAGGAATATACTCATACTTTGAAACTGATAAAATAAATTTGGATGAATAACAAACATTTTGTGTATTGTTGATCTTTTCCCGGTACTTTCTTGACAGAGTAGTAGGAAACTTGATTTTTGTATCATTTATGTAGGTCAATGATTTTAAAAACAAGAACATTATCCTTAAACATATTAGCCAATAAAGCTTATATTAAATGAAGCAGAGAGTTGCCATTAATTACTGAAACTATAACTACATATTATTATTTAGAACAAAGAATTTTGATAAAATGGTCGGATTTAACTCAAAATAATTCACATAAAAATAGGTGTGACTATCCAGAAGTGTCTATTCAGATACTATTCAGATAATAACATTTGGCAGAATGCAAAATAAAAAATGAAAAGTTAATATTATCCAAATTTGGGCACATATGAAAGGCCATTTTTTTATTATTTAATAAATTATTTTAAAAGAATCTATACCAATAGCAATTTGCTGTTTGTTTAGCAGTTAACTCCCTCTTCTTTCTTTATTAAAATTTAGTTGAATGGACATATGTATACTATAAGTTACTTTGAATGTTTTTACATGAGTTTGCTAATTTCCAAATTCAGTCTTTTCATAACGTTTCGTTTTTAATTTTTCCACCTTTAAGGTGTAACATTTTCTTCAAATTTAAATAGGAATAATCGTATATTTAACCAAATTCAATTTATAAACAATTCATTGAGTCTAAGTTTTAATGGACGAATGGCATCTACTCATCACCGTTTATAAAATAATGTTTTTCACTAGTCAATCGTAACGGACATTTTTTTATAGTGTAGGGGGCAAACAAGCAGACAGGTCACCTGATGGTAAGTGACTACCGCCGCCGCCGCCCATGGACAGTTACGACTCGAGAGACACAAGTGGACTGCCGCCCTTTGAGTGTCTACTCTTCTTCGATCATTGCAAAATTTAAAAAGTCGACCATGAATTATAAACAACTAGAATTTGCCCGCGGCTCCGCCCGCGTGTACGTCGGTTATCGCGGTAAATAGTAGCATATTTTTTTTTTTGGGACTAATCCTACCCACACGCCCACCACTGTAACTCCTGTACACCAGGATCCACAGCAGTGACCCACGAACACACCGAGTTATGACACTCGGGAAGTCCCAGGAAGAAATTAAACTGTCTTGGAACCCGCAACGAAATTAATCAGAAGAAAATTGGAGGAGTTGGAAATACAGTAAATCCACTTCCCTCCTTAGCAAAGCGGGAGACAAAATGAAGTAAAATGGGCATACACCCTTTTAAACAGGGAAGCACCACGGCCACAAAATATTACGGGTCCTACGTGAGCTATATTTGATTTCTATATTATGTATGGCAGAATCGCCTAAACGCACGGAAATTCACCCTAGTTGACACAAGATCCCCATAGTATACCGCCCCAGATGTCACCTGCAAGGTATTCAGCATTATATTACGTTCATTATACCAAAGACTACATTCCCAGAGGATATGATGAGCAGACTGTTCATAGTGAGAGTTAGGTGTGGAGCATTGACACAATGGTGACTCGACTTATTTAAATGAATAAAGCTTGCTCTTAAAGTTCCCATGACCCGTAAGAAATTGAGCGACACAGTGATCCACCTCAAGCCATGTCCTCGACAACCGTTCGCGAACAGATGGAAAGAATTGGTAAAGATGGCGCCCCTTGGATGATTCATCCCAGCGTTGTTGCCATTCGTCTATGAGGTCATTATAGACATCGGACCGCTGTTGAAGCAATCTTGTAATTTTACCGCGATCCCGCGCGCCCAAAAAATCGCATTCCATGTTTTGTTGTCTTGAATAGTACATGGCTGCACATCTCTGCACCTCGAGATCGACCGGAAGCACACCCGCCAACACCGGCAAAGCCTCAGTGCTAACCGTCCTGTATGCCTTGCACAAGAATATCAGTGCAAGTCGTTGGCCTTGTAACAGTTTGCGACGGACAGCGCCTACGGTCGCCCTATCGGCCCATACAGGTGCACCATAGCACATAGAACCTAAATAAGTAGCTCCGTATATGATCTTTAATGTATTAAATGATAAACCCCATGTCGCAGTTGATATCCTTGTCAATGCACAGAAACTCTTTTTAGACTTTTCATTAACTATTTTAAAATGTTCGATAAATGAAAAGTTTCTTTCTAAAACTAATCCTAAGTAACACACTGAGGCTTTATTTTTTACAGTAACATTGTCAAATCGATTGCTTGGCGGTGATTTGAGGTTACCTTTTAAAAGTAACTGGAAGGTTTTGTTGGGTGCAAAAGTTAAGCGATTACGTTCACCCCATTGAGATATCAAGTTCAAACATCTATTGGCTAATCTCTCAAGCCCCGCCCTAGTATCAGATTCCACCAGTAATAAGAAGTCATCAGCATACGCGTTCAGAGTACATCTGGTTGGTATTGGTATCGCAAGAAAATCGTCGAAGCCGATATTCCACAAGTATGGACCTAGCACCGATCCCTGAGGACATCCCATTGTAAGCGCCTTCGACACAGAATTATGACCAAGTCTTAGTTTAGTAGTACCTTGTGAAAAGTACGAAGATATAAGGGAATAAATATTTTTAATAATAAGGGAATAAATAGTAGCATATGTCCTTCCTCAACAATCAAACTATGTCCATACCAAATTTAATTTAAATTATTCATTCCCCATACAAACTTCCACCCCCTTAAAGGATGATTGCTATGATAAAAAACTATCCTATGTCCTTTTCCGGGACTCAAACTATCTCTACACTAAATTTCATCTAAATCGGTTCAGCGATTTAAGCGTGTAGCGGTAACAGATAAGCACACTTTGACATTTATAATATTAGTATGGATTATAATAATGACATTTTGTAAGAAAAGATATACTCTTATTCCTTAAAGGTTATTGGATCTCTCGTATTACGTAGTCTCGTAGTGGTTTTATCATTCATTACTTTGAATTAGATTAATACCTAGATCTAAAGTGGTTTATAGTAATCACATGTTTCATGGGAAACACTTCAAGTCGTAATCATGCACGTACATTACCAAGTACTACTGAAGTACTACATCTACTAACAAATATTCTTTATCCCTAAACTTACCTAAACAAAAGCCTAAAAAGTCCTTGTTCATTCCAGTTTTGTATGGGGCAGTTTGTGAAAGCACTAATATTGTGCAAGGCATCTGCTACAGACGTGACCAGCTCCGGGCTTGGCGGTGGTGGTTCGCCAGCCTCTGTTTTTGAAGAAGAAATATATACGTCTCCACCTTTCTGTGCACGAACCTCCAACTCGCTTCTACGCTCCAGTAATGATACTGATATATTGGAATCTAGAATCATAATAATAAACTGATTTAAAAATGTTAGTGATATTTTTATATTTTTTTACTGTTGCTATTTTCGTTCAAAAAAATATAGGTACAACAGTAAAGGAAAACCACAATAGAAGAGCGCAAATAAATATAATAATGAATGATAATTGAAAGGGTGAGTGCTTGACAGTTAAATTTCATTTGCAATTAGTGAAATATATTATACTCTGTTAAAGAAATCACTTGTCTTTGATCTACATTCATAGCTCATATTGTAAACTGTTATGAGTCTAGACGTGTACTGTATAGTAAAATATACTCACTGTTTTCAACAACATTAATCACATTAGAATATTATAAATCATTTTCTTATCAGTGACTCTTAGTAACAGGACTTAATTATTTACAATCATGTAGAAAATACCTAAACTACAAATTGTGACTATAATCTTTCAAAGTATTACTATAATCTTTGATACGAAAGTTATAAATTACTTACATCTGGCACATTCTTTCATTATGATGTATGAATGATTTTACTAGTCATGCAATAGATTAAATAATATACACTCGAGACAAACAAATTAGATTGGATTATAAATAATTTTCGAGACGTGAACAATGTGAACAATCGTCCGTGTGGTGACGTATTAAGAATACATGTGTGTCACCACCCCTATTCACTCCCTGGGTGCTGTATGAGCCGACTAAGGGAGCAAACTCTGCAAGACAACAGCACTGCAAAGAGAAGAAAAACTTGAAACAAACCTTAAGCCAACCCGTCTAGTGGTATAGTGGGCTAAAACCTGTTTTCTAAGGAGAGGCATATGTCCAGCAGTGGAATATTAAAGCCTGTTGACGATGTGATGTGTGTGACTACACAGGTACTTCTCGAAACAGCCGTGACCGGTAAAATATGCTGTTGGTGTTGATGGACAATGTGTTCATTCACTGTATGGAGTGGCCAGCACGCTGTGACCTCTAGTCGATCGAGAAACGGTTCGAACGATGTATAAAACTTCGAAACCCTCTTTCAATCACTCGTCGAAAGTTTTTTCTCTCATAGAGGAATGGGAGAACAGTCCCATACATCGTATAAAAACTTGGTGTACAACAAGCTAAGTTGCACAACCGTAGTAATGGTAGAGGCAATGTCTGTGTTGTTTCACATCTGCCGATATCTTTATGTGACTCGGACTAACTACTTTCGAGTGTACTAAAATCATTTAAAATAGAATGAAAAACGGATCTGTCTGATCCGGGTAGTTTGGTAGGAGTGGTACTTACGAAACGATAGTTTGTATTCCTTGGCATTGAAGAACTCGACAAGAATTTCTATACAATTCTGTACGAAGTTATTTTCATTTAACTGGCCTAGTACATCGCTCTCCAAAATCTGAAAATATTACATACTATATAAGCATTCGACAAACACCGAAGTCTTAAAAAACATGTCATCTGATATAATCCTACTGAGTAAAATTAATTTAACTAGTGGAAACTTAAGTACTTAAGTTTTAACCCCGGGACAGAAACTAATTAAATACAAACATTCAATATTAAATAAAGTAAAAAAATAAACAATACTAAATATTTTTGTTGAAGAGGAGGTACTAAAAACCATGCATTGTCTTTGAATTTAAATTCACTGCATAGTAAGGTTTCTCTGTTGCCGTGGTCTGTGTCAGGCTGTACAAGCTAAATCGGACTGAAACATTCCAAGAGTCACTTCTTGTTCATTTTAAATCAGAGACACTGCTTGGCTGGTTAAAATATTTTTCAGTGCGTCACTACCATTCCTAAGAGAGAGTGAACAAGCGCAATCTTATTTTACAAATTATAATATAATATTTCTTCTTCACGGCCAAAAAGATTTCCATTCAGTAGTCACACGAGTCTAAAGACGGTAAATCCGCCCGCGTCGGCATAAGATAATCCAGAATATGCTTACTAAGAAGACAATAGAAAAGCCTCGACAGACTATTAGCCGGAATCAGGCACACAAAAAAACAAAAAACCCTAGGCATTCGTACAGAGGTTTTCACGTCACCGATTTATCATTTTATTTAGTAACTAAAATTTTCTGGCTACTAATTTATTATGAAGTAACATTATATGTAGTAGCTTTAATTTGCATTTGTAAGGAAAAGAATCTGTGTGGTGACGGATTAAGAATGCAGAATGTCAGCACCACCCCTACTCATCCCGTGGATGTCGTAAAAGCCAACTAAGGGAGCAAACTGAGCAGGACAACAGCAATGTAAATAGAAGGAAAACTTGACACAAACAATGGCCAGCGTGGAAAACCTTATGTCTAAGAAGAGGCATATGTCCAGCAGTGGACAGTTAAAGTTATGGTCGCCATTTAAAATTTTCTATTATTTAATAAAAATCTGTCTTTTGTAGGACTCCCTAGCTTGAATTGGTTCACAATGGCTATTTTTAAGGTGGACTACTGTTGGTACGTTGCGTTGGCATGTATCCATATGAACCCGTTCGAATTTGTCTTCACTTAGATAATCAAGATTGTTTGAGAAGCAGTCCTAATGCCTGTGAAAAAAAATTACCTTTAATCCAGATATCTCTCTCTCGGCAACTGTCAAAAAAATCCAGGGGCAGATTCATGTATACCAAAACTTTTGATCTAAACGTGTAATTTAAATTCTCATATCACACACAGAATTAGGTATTATTGCCAGTACGTATATTTTGATTACTGAACATCTGGGTTATCGAAATGCGCAGTCAAGAGTCGCTCGTTTATATTTGAATAAATAATGTTTTAAATGTGTGTAAATGTAATCAGTATTGTAATGCCATAAATGTATAATTGTAAGTTAACAAGAATAATAATTTCACATTCCATGTGTAGATTGGCTAATTTATAGCTTTATAGTAAATTTTATTACGTAAACAACAAAAACGTTAGATCTAATTCAAAAACTTGTCAAGCGTAATAAATTAGATTTTGACTTTTAAACTCATATCTACTACCATCAATAAGGACGATGACCTTCTGTAGTACGAGTAAATCAATTCAACGAACCAGATTACACCTTAACTCTATCGTGTTACCACCTAATTGACCTAACTACATAACCCACTGGTTTAAGAGCCTCGCATGCCGTTTATGCAATAATAATTAAAATGGCTCTCGCTCGAAGATCTTAAACAATGTTTCTAGTTTTTTTATACATAAATATATACAAACACAGTTAATGCTGCTTAATTTGAAATTTGTGCAGTTATTTTAATAGACTTGTCCTATCCATTTTTATTGTATTTAATCGATACATCTCAAGGCAAATAAAACAGACAGTTTAAAGTTTCTCGTTCTGGAATTGTCACTCGTATAATTACATTATCAAAATAGAATACCATCTAATAAAACGTTTACATTCCAAACGTAATATAATACGTAATCTAATTTTTACAAATCATAAAAAAATATTATACTTAACGTAGCTTATCTTAGATATCATTATGCAGTCGTACATCATTCACATATCATAATCATTTAGATGACACTAACGTGATTATACTAAGTAGACAAAAACCTCCTTTCTAAGGAGAGGCCTATGTCCAGCAGTGGACTATTAAAGGCTGTTGATGATGATGATGATGAACGTATTTAACGTAATGATCCATGGAGAGGCCCACATCTGGTGGTGAGGGGGAGGTCATCTGTTACCCTAACAGAAGCAGGTCTTTTACGGGTAGGAAGAAAACACCGTGGTCCCCAGGTGGTACAAATTTAAAGTATTTCAAAAATCCCCTGTTCAGCAACCGCTTCGGCAAAAAGAGCTGATATCCTTCGAACGGCCGTAAAAAAATTCTTGAATTATAGCCAAGAAAACTTTGCATTAAGGCAACTTTTAAACAAAAAAACTTAATACCTACTTATTGACCCTTTGTTTAAAAAGATATAATGCCACAAATACAGATAGACACACAACCAAAAGGCCAATTCTCGTAATAAAAGTTCGGTCTCAATTCAGTTCCTATTAACTGTCGATCTCACAACTGTTATATAAGGTGATTTATTAGTAAAGTATTAAACATCCAACTTTGACTGTAATGTGGTTATATCGTATTGTAGCTTAATAATAATTTACTATTTCACTACGAAAATACCTTTTATGACAGTTGTGAGATCGAAAGTTGATCGGAACTGAATTGTGACCGAACTTTTATTGCGAGAATTTGCCTTCAGATAAAGAGTGTTAAACTCATAACACCTCATTTTTTCGTTGAGAAAAAATATCTATATTTAACGCAATCACACGATCAATTAACCAGTTCAACACTTGTTAACTGATTAGGTATATTAATAACTGTTGCGGCTCATTCATCTTGAAGTCAGTGATGCATCCATAAATGAATGGATCGTTCAATTCATCAGATGTTGAATGCCAATCCATGAAAATAAATAAAAAACAGTATAAAGATTTTGTTTATTAAAAAACTTTAAAGTAAATAGTATAAAATAGGGTATTTTCAACAAGTTATTTTTAGACACAATTAAGCAAAAACGAGAAAACCACCTTAATGTTGTATTATTCACAGACAAAGAGATAAATACAATACTAATATTACAAAACAAATGTAAACACTGACCACTTACACTGTTTTATGAATCATAAAAATGTAAAATCAATGGAACCGTCAAATTTATCTTAGATGAACAGATATGATTTCTCTGTTATTGTAATGTTTTGTCATGAACACAGTGATTTAGTCACTGTAAAAAAGTAATACATAAGTAAATAAGTACAGACCACTGGTTTTTTGTATGTTTTGCAAATGATAGTTGAAAATAAAACCAGTTTTAAATCGTGCCCTTTTCACGTTGAAGCCTGGATTTAAAACATAGTTAGTTACATATTTAAACTTGTGAGTAAAGATCAATAAGGAAACCGAGTAAAGAGTACAAGTCAAAGAACAACTTACAACATATTTATATATTTCAGAAAGAGCTTTATGACATAAGTTATACCTACTTGTTTTAAAAGTACAATTATGAAATATCTACATAACGATAAGCACATCCGTCTTAACACGGACATGAAGAGAGACAAGTACAGATAGCACAAATAATGTTATTACTAGGAGAGCTAGTAGACATTATTGTACTGCACTGTTTCTTTAAGGGCCAGTTTTATCCCAATGTCCTTTAGCCAGATCTTCGTTTTTGTATTAAATTATCTTAAAATAATTGTTTTTACAGTGCCCTTAAATCCTGTCTGAAAATGTCTACCAGCTCTGAGACTATTACTACAAATCAGATTACAGATTAGACATTAAAGCCATATTATATAGTGCTCGGTGATTTTTATCGTGTCGTAAAAACTTATAGAAAACGTCATATCTAACAGACTACTTACATAAACTTAATACTGTGATACAAATAAGTATGTTATGCATACATTTTTCAAGACGGAATCTATGATTGACTTTTATATGATGTAGTAATACCTACCTACATATTTGAATTACACAATTTAATTAGTCATCATTTTTAGATACATTGTCTACATTACAGAAACGTACACCCAAGCTTGATGCTTTTCAAAAATCTAGACAAGTCAGTTTTTAACTTTACAACACGCGACCTCACATTTCACATACCTTAGCAGATGCATCACGACAGTAAATGCAATAAACATAAATAAAATACAATTTCTCTAACAAATGACGATATATAAAATACTATATTGTGTATATATATATATATATTATTTATGTGTATTGGAGTATAAATGCATATGCATGTGTGACCCTTATACCACCTAAATCTAGTTACTCATTTCTGCACCCCAATGTCAACCGGTATAAAATGCTTGTGATTAAGTCCGCCATGGTACAATTGTACATTTGTGCAAGTGTCGAATAAATATTTAGGCCAAAAAAATTTGTTCTGAATCTGTTAGTTAAAAGCATATGATTTTTAACTAAGTATTTTTTTCAAAACAATAATAAAAGCTAAAAACATAAATTAATGAATATGATATTATGAAAATTGTGATTTTAAGTCTATATGAATATAACTTGATAAGTCTTTGCAATATTTGAAACTTAATACAATGTTAGTTTAGGCATATAATGCATGACTGACTTCATAGTCCAAACATAAATAGAATCCTAAATTAAAAGTCATTATTTATAATGTAATTGTGTGTCTGGATGTAATTTATCTACAATATGTATATATTTAAAAATACGAGGGTGGTCTGAAAAGTTTCCGACCTCAACACGAAGACGGCAGCACTCGTGAATAAAAGCTAGTGAATTGCTTGTTCACCTGTTAACAGTTACTCGCCAAAAGTTTCAGCCACTTTGGACGCGCAGATGTTATGTCGTTTGAGTGAGTTGATGCTAGTGCTTTTATGAAAATGGACGGAATCGAGTATAGAGCTGTCATTAAATATTTGTTTTTTAAAGGCAATACGCCTACGCAAATCAAAGATGAGTTAGATTCTGTGTAAGGGGACTCTACACCATCATTTACCACACTGACATTTTGGACAACAGAATTTAAACGTGGCCGTAAGAGCGAGACGATGAACGTTCGGGACGTCCAAAAACTGCAACTACGGAAGAAAACATCGCCAAAGTTCACCAAATGGTGCTAGACGACCGCCGAATTAAAGTAAGAGAGATAGCAGAGGTTATGAACATGTCAAAAGAACGTGTTTGTCACATATTAAATCAACATTTAGACATGAGAAAGCTGTCCGCGCGTTGGGTTTGTGACCAAAAATGTGTTCGAATGAAAATTTCAAACGCTATGTTGGCGCAGTTTAGGCGCAATAATCCGAGTTTTGGCGCCAATTAATTACTGTAGATGAAACTTGGATACGCCCGAAACAAAAATATATTCCAAACAGTGGACTGTACAGGGGAAACCGGCTCCAAAAAGGCAAAAACTGTTTTTTCGGCAGGGAAAGTGATGACGACTGTTTTTTAGGATAGTCATGGAGTTATTTTAATCGATTATTTCCAAAAAGGAAAAACCATTACAGGAGCATACTACTACCATTACTTGACAAGCTATAGGCAAAACTTGCGAAAAAAACGGCCATATCTGCAGAAAAAGAAAATCCTGTTTCACCAAGACAACGCACCGTCTCACGCCGCACACCTCAGCGGTTGCTATGGCAAAAATCTCTGTCCTCCGAGCGCAATTTTTAGAAGAAGAAGAGAAATTGTACAAGAAGTCGCTTGGGCGGATGGTCAAGCAGTTTAAACCGTTTAAACTGCTTGACCATCCGCCTTATTCAACAGATCTAGCCCCAAGCGACTTCTTCTCTCATCTAAAAATTGCGCTCGGAGGACAGAGATTTTCGTCAAATAAAGAAACAATTACCTTCGTGAACAATTATTTTGCAGTATTATTTGGACGGATTACAGAGATGGGAGCATCGCTGGGAGAAGTGTGTTGAGTTACAAGGAGACTATGTTGAAAAATAAAAAATAAAACTGAAATAAGATCTTGTATCTTTTTTGGGACGGAAACTTTTTAGACCACCCTCGTATATAAGTATGTTTATCAGCGGTCTGGTTACCATAGCCATACCATGGCTCTGCCTAGTTTGGGATCAGACGGCCGTGTGTGAGATGTTTTATTATAATTATATTATAACTGTTTAATCTTATCATGCCTACAAACACGTGGTTAATATTAATCTAAGTTAAGTTAGATGGCTCTAAACCTCAGAAATATTCCTCCTTTGTTCTTCAGCATAACACTTCTTGGATCGTACTGGATTGTTGAAGTTGTTTGAGCACAAGGCTCTACTTCGAAGGAACTCAGTATAATAGCCAAGCCGGTCGCCACTGTCAGTTGAGCGAACCGTGCTCCTGCACAACGAAATAGTTTTATATAGTTTTGTTATTTAACAAATAAACTTTTAAAAGCAATAATCAGAACCAATATTACAATTTTAAAAAGTTTATCTGTTAGTATTATATTTTTGCAGTAACAATATCGTGAACCAATCGTAATATTAAAACTTTAGTAAAAATCAATGATCTTCCTGACATGATATTTTAATATATACTACACATTTCTATGAATATTTAATCAAGATTTAAAAGAAATATGCAATCTCTGTACCATTTCTCCTGCTCATATACTCAAATACAGGGAATTCTGTCTATACTCTGTTCATGTGAATTCAAGCTCAAGTTCTGTAAACACCAAGAGACAGACACAATGAAGCGTCTTAAAATATTTGCATTAGATCTACACAATGAGAACAAAAGAATGTTTATACATATAAAATAAATTAAACAGGACATAATATTTTTATACACAATAACGGTACAACAATGTAAGAAATATTATTACACAAAATAGTTTTTTTATGTTATCTTAAATATTTATAGAAATAATACAATTACATTATAAAAAAGAATGTCATTTACCTGGACAATTCCTTGGCCCATCACCGTAGGCCAGGAAAGCTGGTGGACATAGATTCTCTTCGAAGCGACTGGGATCGAATTTATCAGGATTCGAAAAGTATCGCTCATCACGTTGTATACACTGAATAGGAATGAGGACGACATCCTTAACTTTCATACTCAACTCTTCATTGAGCTTGCAAGGAGCAGTGCATAGTCTGGTCGTCATCGGTGTTGGTGGGTGTAATCTTAACGTCTCCGTTACCACTTGTGCAACGTAACGCATCGCAGTCACAGCATCATAGCTAAGTTCCTTGTGACGTTCTAGACATTCTATTATCTCTTTTCTCACAGTATCTTGTATATCTTTATCTTTAGCTAACTCATACAAACAAAAGGATAATGTCGTAGATGATGTCTCCAAGCCCGCCAGCATAAATATAAACGAATTTGAAGTTATTAAAGCATCGGTCATAGGAAAATTTCGCTCCGAATTCTGTTCATTTAACATTAACTGAAGGAAGTCATGTCTTTGAACACCAGACCTTCTTTCTGCCAATACCTGATTAATGATTGTAGTAAAGAACACTTCCACGTCGGGAGAGTAAGATCTCAGATTTAAAAATTTAAATAGTTTGGGAAAAAACGTTCGGCAATACCGTTTTAGTAATGTTGCCCGTTCAATTTTAAACATCTTCTGTGACATTTTCAAAAAGGGTGATTCTCCATTTTTAAGAGAGCCAGGGTCTACTCCGAATGCACAGCTGCCTATAACATCCGTTGTAAAGCGCATCATTATATTGGGAACATTGACTGATTCTAACGATTCATTTGAAAGAACGTCTTTTAAAGTTCTCCCACACGCAGCTATCAATGGAAACATAGCTTTCATTTTTGCTGAAGAAAATGTTGGAGTAACGACATGTCTCATTGCTTTCCATTCAGCGCCGCTCATGTTAGCAAGATTTCGCAGTAGAGGTTCGCGCTGAGTGTCAGTTGCAACCGACACTCGATCACTAAAGCACTGAAATTCTCTTGAAAACACAGATTTTACTAATTCCAAGTCTATAAGCATCAATGTAGGTCGTCGAGCTTGAAAAATTCCTACGTATTTTTCCTCTTTATAACTATCATAAAAAAATTTTAGCATTGTAGAATAACTCCTTTTCATAGTAAATGTAGCACCAAAATTTCCGAAAATCGGACAAGGGTCCCTGTAAGGCACATTTCTGAACAACCAGTATTTCCTTCCTTTGGTTGAATAGTGAAAAACTGTTAGTAGAAGAAGTAATGCTAACAAAATCACAAACAAAACAACAAAAATCCACATTTTCACTTTACTTATTATAACACTACTACAGAATCAAAATAAAGTTAATATTTAAATAACCGGCATTTGGAACGTATGTAAACAACGCGGCACATTACACACGAGAACGCGAACATACGAGCTAACAATAGAAGAGCAGCCGGCAAACGCCTGCGATAGCGGCTGCGGTCTGCGATCAAGTGAAGCGTATCGCCAGCGTGTGCTGAGATAAGCCCTACGCGCTCGTACTGCGCGATCTACACGACGACGCCATGCACTCAAGGCCATGAATGTGATGTTGATGTACTATGCCCGTGACTCGAATATATGGCTATCGATCGATTCTTGCGACGTCTATTGTATTCGTAAACGTGAATAATAATAGGAACCTACACCTTATACACATTTGCGGGTCATCTCGCTGGATATCCTGAATTAAAATCGTTTATATGCTGTTTTAGTTTATTACTTAAAATGCTTGAAAAGGTATGATCAAGTAGTGCAGAATCTTAATTATTGCATTCAGATTCAGATTAATAATAAATCAGTCGTGCTATAATATTTATTAAAAAATATTATGAAAACTTAGACGGTATTTTATAAACTTACGAAAAAAAATATTTTTAACAAAAAGTATAAGTAAAGCTGGTAAATAAAATCGAAGTATCAAAGCAACAGGATTTTATATCAGCACGGGCAGCGATTGCATGTCACGAGATTCATTTATGTAGGTACAGCAATACGCTCTATCTAAGCGCTCTCTGTCTTTTCTGTTAAAACACTGTTTTTATAATATATTAAACCAAAATATGAAGTTCATTTTTTCTCCTTCGATATATGTAACAGTCTTAGTACATACAGCTACGAATATAAGCGTAACAAAAGGAATTGTTGACAATCCACTTCAATTCTTAACAATAGAACATTTATAATATACGTCTTATGACGATCAGCAGTCACACAAAGATAAAGATTGTTTTATGTTCCATTTCAAAGAATAGATTTTTACTCAATTGTTCACATAATCTGAATAAACAAAAGCACGCGTCTAATAATGCATGTCCACTACAGGCCGCATCGAGAGTCACTACAGACAATACAGTTACTTTAAATGGATAACTTAAACTAGATATATTTATTCATTGTTATGGTATTACCTTGACATGTAATAACTTTTACACATATATAACTGGCCCCACAGTTTAGTATCTACATTTAATAGCACTTACGCAGTGACTAAGTTTCAAGACTTGGCGATATTAAAGTCAAATAAGATAATAATAAAAACTCCAAGGACATTAATGAATGGTGGCGAGAATTGGGTATGGGAGAAAACATGTAAATTAGAAAATCTGTAGATATGAGATCACTGCTAAGTACCTGCGAGTAAGATTGATTTACAGAAAATTAATAAATAATATTTGGGAGCAATGACTTAAGAGACCACGTAGTGACTGACTTTAAAAAGGATGTGCTGCAGTGGTTTGGGTATAAGGAACTAGTGCTAATATCTGCAAAGTAAAAGTTAATGACTATTTTGTTAAATTACATATTGCATACTTGCCTTATCATTCTGTATTATTCCTCAGGTAAATAGCATATCTTTTTAATTTGTGACGCCAACAACCAATAGTAGATGTGAACAGAGAACACTTTACACAGAGTTTTTTGTATAATACACTAATACCGAACTATATCTATAGCTAGAACACACACACCAGACAAACAAGGTAATCTATGTACGTGTTATCGTCTTGTTAAATAAAGGGGAATAGCCCATGTCTATTAAAGAAGTTATTTCTTTGGGGGAAGTAATTGAACGAAACATAAAATTAAAGCCCGCTCGTCAAATCCTTTTTGTTGTAACTAACAAAACGAGATAATTTATACCGATATATATATTTTTAGGGTTCCGTACCTCAAAAGGTAAAAAAGGAACCCTTATAAGATCACTTTCTTGTCCGTCTGTCCGTGTATCAATACCGATTTTCTCAGGAACGGGTAGACCTAGCAAGTTGAAGCTTATACCAGATACTGAGGTCTATGGTCCCTATTGGGTGTATAAAAATAGAGGTCCTCAGTCAACACGATAAAAATATAGGCAAATTTCGATTTTCGTGAAAACTTGTAAGTACCAAAATTGACCTTGATTTTCAACTTTTTATTTCAGATTTTTTCTTTACTTGTGGTGTACCTTGATTTAAACCAAAATTGACCATTCTTGGTCAACCGGAAGTACCCTATAGGTTTTGGCTCGAAAACCTATATGGTAGTTCCCGTTGACCTAGAATCATGAAATTTGGCAAAAAGAAACGTCTTACAGCACAAATAAAGGAATAATTCCAAAAAATAAAAAAAGTTGAAAATTAAGATATATTTTGGCACTTACAATGTTTCGCGAAAATCTACGTAAAATCTGGGTAGGTACGGAACCCTCGGCGCACGAGTTCGACTCGTACCTGATCGGTTTTTTAATATATTTATAATGATGATGTCTACAAAGAATATTTATAATGATGATGTCTACAACGAATTTAGAAACCTTAAAACTAAGGATGTGAATAAGACGGTTTCTCTTATATTATTCTTATATTTCTTATATGATAAGACATATTATATTATTGCGATTGTGTTATTCGTCTGCCTATACGATCGTATGTCGAAATTACTGAACTCGAAGACATGGAAATGATTGCTACTTTTAAGTCATAACCATATAATGAAATTATTGGTTTTAGTCAATGCGTTTTCACCTGCGATTGTATTTTGTCATAGACAAAGATAAATGCCATTAAAAGTAATCAAAATTCTTCTTATCAAAGACATGGGCATACTCCTTTAAGGAAACTATTTACTTTGTGAAAGTACAAATAAAATATTTAAAAAAGACACGAATCTAATAAAACATACTCATGTAATAGGTCTTTACCTATGCAGTTGGAGATTTTAAAACCAGAATTTTCAGATTCTATTATCTGTAGATGCAATGCGATGCGGCGTGCAATTCGAAATTTAAATAAATTTTATTCGCAAGTCATGTTATTTTAATTTAAAATTCAGTAATTTGTTTTAGATAGTGTTTTGTTTTTGTGAAATTCTGGTAGTTTTTACGCCATGGATAAACTGAAAATTCGTACAATTTTCGAATATGAAATCCTACGTGGAACCATTGCGCAATCCTTTTAGATCTGGAAATTTTAAGTTGAAGAACGACAGCCCTTTAACTATTTGACGACCGAATGGCGTAGTGGTTTGTGTAACGGACTGCTATTCCAAAGGTCGCGGGTTCGATTCCCGCTCAAGTCAAGCATTTGTGTGCATGAACATTTAATGTTTGATTTGGTCTGGGTGTTTCTATGTATAATATGTATGTTTTACAAAAAAAAAATATATATGTATTTATATCAGTTGTCTAGTACCCATAGCACAAGCTCTGCTTAGTTTGGGACTAGATAGCGTTGTGTGAATGTGGTAGAATAAAAAAAAAAAAAAAAATTGTCGACTTGAAAGCGATAGTGGGAGCGGATCAAACTCAATCTACTGTAAACTTGCTGCGGGCTTTGGAGTTAGTGTCAAAACAACATTGAAGCACTTTTGTCAAATCGGATGGGTAAAAAAGCTAGATGTAAGTGTGTGCCACAAGAACTAAGGGACCATCAGCGAGAAGGAATGCGCTTCAAAGCATGCATAGCGCTGAATCGGCATAGAAACGAGGGAATTCTGAATCGAATTATTACCTGCTATTAAAACTTGATCCTATATGACAACCATATGCGCTCGCCTCAATGGGTGGACCCGCGGATATAGCATCTAATCAGTAAGAATACCCATACCATGACTGTCTAGTGGAACAGTGATGGCAGATGTCTATTGCCCAGAATTGGAAATAATGATGGAGAAGCTCGCAATTCAACAACCATGACTAACTTTGAAATTTCGTTAGTTTAAAATGATTACAATTAAATTAGATTAAGACAATTTACAAAAGATTTAAAATAATTACGTACAGCTACATCTTAGTGGATACGTTTTAATATAATCTCTTATCTTATCTCCCAAAAATAAGTTATGAATATCGTATAATAAAAAATCTGTGGCTTTCCAAGACTTGGACTAAGGACTAAACAATAGTTACAGGTTTTATTTCGAATTTGCATTAAAAAGTAATATTCATTTACTGTTACCTACATTTTATTACTAAATAGTCACCAGTTTATCCCATTTTTAGTATATTTAACTTACATTTCAGTGATAATAGTACCTATATCTAATAATCACTACGATAATACATAAGTGCCTATTCAACATAACTTCAAGTAGGCATATCTATATTAGGCCATCGAAATGAAAGGAAACTGCAAGTGCATAACTAAATATAGCAATAAGGACAATTGTGGTATTTCCCAGAGAGCACTTTACAGATTTCTCGTAGGTACTCGTGATCTATAGGTATATAAGTTGTAATCTGAAATAATGCTTTCACAATCCTCGCCTAGTCTGCGTGTGGTCTCCCATTCGTATTCAGAAGTGGTGCTAGTAATTTATAGATCATTACAACGCGGTAGGTATTCAACTGTGCCGTATGTATTATGTATACTTTTTAAAGGAACAATAAATTATTTGTTGCTATTTTTATTATTCTTGTGTTGAATTATACAATACCCTCCTTATTAGTCCCGTTCTTATTTGAATTCCCGGTTTATTGATTCATAAAATAGATTCACTATACATAGAATATACTTTTATAAGATAATACTTAAGTACGAATTTCTAAAAAAAACTTTTTTATAATATAAAATAATCATTACATGTTTATCAGCTTACAACAACATTTTGTACTAAGCCATTTTAAACAGCAACCTTGAGGTTTACTCAAGACAATGAAGTATGGCAAAATGTATGCTTGTGCTATGGTGACGTATTAAGAATACTGAGTGTCACCATTCATGCCGTGGGTTTCGTAAGAGCTGACCAGAGGATCTAACTACTTTCAGTTCAACTTTTCAACATATTCATATATTTTATATTTATTGTCACAAAATAAAGAACATCTGCTTTTTCGCATTTTTTAAATTTTTTGATAAATTCTTAGCTTTTAAGTATTAAACTTAAAAACCAAAAATTTATCTGAAAATTTTAAAATATGGCATGTCTATTTTCCAAATATAACTATAAACAGAACTATAGTCAATATCAATCAATTATTGAGCTTTTAACAGGGATCTATCAAATCCCAATAACCCAATCTTATTATAAGCCAGACTATAGTGTCTAGCGAACAAAATATAATGGCCATTAACTTATTACTCATATTGTGGACTACAAGTAATCGCATTTTCTAAAGACTGACTGTTTTACAAACAAAGGCAAAAGAGAACGGTACAAATAACAAATTACACATAAGAAACCCTACACACAGAGCGTGTTCTTACACCGATCACCGAAGGATGTGTTTTGCAACAAGAAAGAAGTGAGTAGTGCTAAAGTTGAGCTAATCAATATCTCCTGGTTTCTGATGCTGGTTTATAATATTATGAATACTTACATCGGATCGTGACGAAGCCCTTGAGGCGACAGCTAGAAGAATGGAGGCAGAGGCAGAGCGCACGGCGTTTGCTTCCCCACGTTGCGAAAATACTTGAACCGCAAATTCAGAGAGGGACGATTCTTGTATAGCTGGTCAAAATATATAAATAAAATTTAACTGCAGTAGTAAGATATTTAATAATATTTTTTAAAAACATATTCTGAAAGCACTCTACCAACCTTGCAGTAACTGGGGCTGCATCTGTACGTAATACGTGAGTGCTGCGATCACATGTAGTGCAGCAGCACGCAATTCTGCTCGAGAACCATTAGCACTTTTAACCACGACCGAAACGACGTCACTGTTAAACAGCTCACTCCACCTCTGGTTACAAATAGATTATTTTATTTTATTTTGGTTGGAAAACGTAGTGTTCATAGCAAAGGATAAGTGTTAATACTATGCACCATTTACATCCTTTCGCAGTTAATCGTCTATAAAGCTTGGTACGTTTTAACATAAGTACTAATTATAATTTAAAGGACAATGCAATCATAATTAAGTTAATTTATGAAGAGAGACAAAAACCGTTATGGTGACGAAATAAATAAAAGTTATATATTAGCCTGAGAACCATGCATCTGTTAATGTGCTATTGAATTGGTATGGTTTAGACTTGAATAAATCTAATTGTGGAAAGCCAACCAACATGTTAATTTCTGTAGCAGCATTAACAATAATATAAAAAAAAAATGAAAAAAAATATAGTTTTAAAAAAAAAATATAGTTTTAAAAAACTAAAAAACACGCTTTCTATAGAAAACCAAACTAAAAAATAGAAAATAAATTTGAAAAAAAGCGTTGGGTGCCTGTTTTTTTTCATTTTTTCTTTATATTAGTGTATTGTCATCGGTCCTCGATATATCTACAAAGTTTAAACGAATTCTGACCGTTTAAAGTCAGTCAAAATTACGCCCAAAGGAGTCGGTTACATAGAAACAAACATACAGGTGAAGCTAATAAAAGCGTGTTAATAAAAAATAAGTTCTGCCTATAGTTTTATGGACATTGAGGAGCCATCAGATATCCGCGACGACTAGTCATCCTGTTTGGTACTTTAAGATTGATTATAGATTATAAAGTAGGTTAATCAATAAAGTTCTGAGAAATTTTGACAGGACAAGCGACACCTGAAATCCTCCTTTCTTTCACGCAGGGATAAGATATGATGTCTTCAACAACGTGCTTCATAAATTGGATTGTAATTACTCTTTATCCTATAATTAAAACAATATTCTTTTTCCTATCTAAACAACAAGAACGTAACAATTCAATCAAGAAATCAATAATTCTATTTTAGATTTCGATAACATACAAAATGTATGCTGTATCTTTTATTTTGTCCTGTGTAAAACACCCGCAATTTCATCATCTCGCCAAGGCTAGTATTTGATTCTATTGCAAGGCATTAAAATAAGAAGGGAGAAGCAAGTCACCGAGAACCCAGACAGACTTTGACTGTGTCTCTAAAGGCGGATAAGGTTTGCCTGTCCGCCGGTACGACGGAATAGATCTAAACAACCGTTTTTTTCTTTTAGGTTTTTTTGGTTAAAGAGGCAAAACTGCCGCCCATGGGCAGTTACACTCGGTCAAAAGCTACGAAAAACACCAGTTTTCTGTAAGGCCGGGATTGCCTGTATCATTAAGAGGAGACTGGCCCATATGTGCGAAATCATGGCTCTCCCACGATAATGTTTCTGACAAAGTAATGACCAGCCTCTCCAATAACCCTCGAGTTGATGCTCATGGAGAATAGAGATTTCTTTGCGATTTCCAGCGTCTAAAACATCTTTTTCAGGAACACAGAACATCCGTTCTCTGTTTGCAATCTCTTTAGCGGATAATATTTCCTTATAAAATCTCAGATCGAGTAAACTGCATACTGTACGATCTGACGTGTACCACAAAGGTTGTTTTCGAAACAGCCGAGACCTACCATATCGCCTCTCCTACCAATTCTTTACAACAGGTCCTACCGAGACAACTGTGGCGTAATAGCCATATGACTTAAATTCAGAAATGTAATTAAAAAAATATGTTATCAACATGTCTGTATAAAAATAAGTCATCAGTAACAGATTAACATACTACCAAGTTAATTCGATTCATCTTCAACCTCCGCAAGTACGCCCATGTGTCTGCCTATCGATCCCAGCTGTTATGGTTACCTATGCGTCAGCGCCATAGTTTGCGGGCCTTGACTATCCTTTATTCTCTTCAAATAATTCTACAGCTCCTACTTATCTCACTTCACAACTTAAACCGCTATGCTCCAACGCTATGACATGTCTATTCGTCTATGTATTTTAAGTAGTATTATAAAAATAATGTTATATTTTCATAGCTTCTCTTCTTTTTACATAATACATGGTAGATAATGGTAGATAATGCCATGTGGCATTAAGTCCGTCTCGTGCAAGTTGTAATGCAGGAAGTGTAAAAAATAAAATAAATATTATTTCAAGACAATGTAAAAAATACGAGTAATGACTCAATCGATATTTTCCAAATACTGATAGACATCAGGTGTTTAGACTTGAGGAAAATTGTAAAAAGCCTGACGTCATCTTGTAGTATAAGTGCATCCTCATCACCGGGAATTGTGTGTCGGACTGAACTATCTAACGAAACAACACGGATGTGTATGGTGGGGTAAACACGCTTGTGGTTAACCAGAAAGAGCAGCGTCTTTCTGGTTTAAAGTTTTAAACGTGCCGTTACAACAATTGCTTGAAATTTTTATCTCTCAAACAAAATTCTGTAATTACAAAATGCGATATTTTTCTATACGGTCCGTGCTTCAAACCTTAACGTGTTTTTTCTGGGTAAAAATTATAAATGAATTTAGAAATATTTACGAGCTCACGAGGACCTTGTCTATATAGGCTGTAATTATACCTGTATACTCGTATCTTAGCTAGGTAGTTTAGAATATTAAGTTTAATATTTGTCCATTAAATCATCGCCGTCCCCAAGTAAAATTTACTTGATCTACTAATAATTTGTAGGTAATAGTTTAGTTACTTACCTGTACAGGAAGATCTTCTATGCCAATTTGTCTCAACAGTGCCAACAAAGACAGCATCGCATCCAGTCTGCAGGCTTGTCCTTTACACCCACCACCAGACGCACAACCAGTCAATGTTCTTGTTAAAAGTTTTAAACATTGGATGAGGGTATCTTCGGAAAGCTTACAGTGGCGGGAATTTAGTGCATATCTTATACAACGCATCAGTTCATTAAGGTACCCTAAAATAAAACCATATTTTGAAGGTGTGAGTGATTGGCAGATGGGAAAAATAATAATACAACAGCCTGCTATCTACATACACATTACGTTTATTTAATAAAATAAATATAATCAACCGATTGATGTAGATCTAATTGAAGTAAAACAGCAGCAATAATAATAATTGACATCAGCAACAGGTGGTAAGGTCTTATTTAAGTTTTATGGCACTGTATTTCCTCGCGTCTAGTAAGCGCCTATGTTTTGTCGTCTATGATTTAGTCTAACCGTCATATTAAAAATTAAGCCTATTGCCGTTAACTTAGGTGACTGAAGGGTAGAAATGGTCATAGACTGGAAGGGAAAGGTAGATGGAAGGGTAGGCAATCGTAAGAAGGAAGGCATATTTCTGATTTGGACGGATTAGGGAATGGGAGCAATAGTTGGAGCAAGTAAGAGTCGCATACCAGTAACACAAACTGTCTGTTTTATGTGTATGTTTGTATGTGTTTACGATGTAATTATATGTATATCCAGTGCTACTGAAACGTAATGTAAGAAATTATAGTTTAAAAAAACTAAAAAACACGCTTTCTATAGAAAACCAAACTAAAAAATCTATACAAATAAATAAAATTGGAGTGTCTGTTTGTAATATTAAAATAACCGCTTTTAAATAAATGGATATGTATGTTTACACGGTACATATGCCAAAATAACATTTTTTTAAATTTTTGTCTGTCTGTCTGTCTGTTTGTTCCGGATAATCTCATGAACGGCTGGACCGATTTCGACGGGACTTTCACTGGCAGATAGCTGATGACATAAGGAGTAAATTAGGCTACTTTTTTTAGACTAGCTTCGCCCCGCGGCGTTGCCCGCGGTTACAACAACAAACGCGGGTAACAACGCGGGTCTCAACTGGTAGAAAATAAATTTGAAAAAAAAAACGTTGGGTGCCTGTTGTCAATAGTAAAAAGCACCCCAGGTTTTCTTTAGAAAGCGGGTTTTTTAGTTTTACTTTAACTTTAACTATTATTTTTTTTAAATTAGTGAATTGTCATCGGTCCTTGATATATCTACAAAGTTTGAACGAATTCGGACCGTTTAAAGTCAGTCAAAATCACGCCCAAAGGAGTCGGTTACAGACATACAAACAAACATACAAGTGAAGCTAATATAAATGTAAAAAGTCATGAATATATTAAATTACACTCAAAAGTTTATCGATTATTATTATTATCGGGATCCTAAAATAACAAGTCACGTGGATCTTTAATAGATAATTAATATAATTAACAACACCCCTCAATTACATAAAACAGATAAAGAAGTTGGACTGTGGCGTAGTTAGTTATTAATATTGGGTTGTGCGTGCCCGGACCAGATAATGTTACTCCTATCGCAGAATACAATACATAATGAAACAAATACAGAAGACTTACTTTGCAAAAGTCACTCTTGTTCTTACATTATAAAACGCAAATCAGGTCGCACAGCGCTAATTTCTAAAACTAAACTACACGGATTATCGTCTGTGACTTCTTGTGAACGCGTTTGTGACTCCTGAGTTGAAGACGTTCATGGGCGGCGATGGTCTTTTTCCATCGGGTGACCCGTCTGCTCGTCTGCCCCTTCTAACACAAAAAAAGCGCTAAAACTAACTAAAAAAATATTCTTATTAATAATAATAACTTATTTCTAGATTAATATATCTTATTGTTACGAGAAGGAACTATTTATTCAGTAGTAGCTTTTTATTTCAACTTTTTGTTTCTGTGAGTTTTCGTGTTTTTTTCTAAGTCATTTTTGTTCACAATTTTTTTTTTTAATTTTGAATTGTTTCATAAGTGAACGCTATAACCTGGATTAATAAAGTATTTTAACTATTAATGGATCGCTTGATTTTAAATAATAGGTACCATTCATTTATAACTATCATTACTGTTAAAATATAAAAAAAAATATATATATCTATAGTTTTCATTGTATTGTGTACTAGTACCATTTTATTTTAATGTATATAAAAAATATCGACACCTTAGAAAACTTTAGTCAATGCCGAACATTGTTTACAGGGATTGACATACATCGAAAGATTTACATATACATACATTGGAGTAAAATGCACTGTAATTCCTGGAATTTAGGGTTCATAACAGCCATATACATTTTACCATTGTTTTGCAAGTGTGTGCGAGTCTTATATCTATTTGTTTGTATTTTGTTTATGTGTTAAGATGTGGCGACATCGGTTTTGGAAGTCATCGGGCGCTAATTCATTTCTAGTGTCTTATTAATACGATTTCTGTGGTGGCATTGAACCTATTAGCAGACGTAAAAGTTGTGTACACACCTGCGGCCTTTCCTCGTCGCACGTAACAATGTAAACAGCGATTTACAATCTATACAAATATTATAAAGTTGAAGAGTTTGTTTGGTTGAACGCGCTAATCTCAGGAACTAATGGGTCGTATTAAATTTATTTTTTAGTTTTGGATAGCCTTTTTATCGAGGAAGGCTACAGGTTATATAACATCACGCTATGACCAATGGAAGCCGAACATCTATGAGTTAGTTGACTGATTGCGTCTCTCAAAAGGAATAAATTCCTATTAAACTTAATATAATCATTTTGATACTTGTTCTGCGCCGAACCTCAGCATTGGATAATAAACTATAAGCGTAATAAGTCAAAACTTACCTAACATGTGAAAATCCTTTAGGTCAATTTTGTCCAAACATGCTAACAAAATTTTAAGCAAACTTTCCAATCTATTGCTATCATAATCTTCACATTCCAATAGGACGATACATCGAATCAAAACTTTTACAATGTGTATGTGTAGTTGCGTGATTTCTATGGTTTCTTGTACTGTTTGTTGAGGATAAAGCTCACTGCGACTCAATAGGGAAATGATATTCGCATCATTGCCGATGAAACACGACTTAATCCATGACATTGTGCCTTCTAGAAATAAAGAAAATATTATTAATACAAACGCGGTGAAGAACCTTTTTAATAAGTGCTAAAACCAACATTTTGGTTATTAACGGTTACAAACTGCCTAATTAGTCTTACATATTATAAAGACATGCAGGTAGTTGGAGAGCTAAAGTCTTAAAACAAACTTTCTACAGAACTTCGATAGCGCCAAGTACTTGGGGTATGATAAAAACTCAAAATGTAGCTGTATCGTAGTAGACGTAAAATAATAATAATAAATAATAATAATAATCGTAATCTGTATTCGTAAAGCTTTCAGTCTCCTACGATACAGCTGCATTTAGATTTTTCGAAAAAAAAGATCAGAGGATGAAGATTATAAAAACATGCGTGGCGAGCCATATAACATATGTCAGTAGATTAATATATACTAATAGTATAGTAAATAACGAAATTAAAACTAGTGCTCCAACCTCAAAAAAAATATATGAAAGTTTTTGATATTCTGTACTTACCACTATTTGGCACGTTATCCATGTAAGCGATAACAAATTGCAACAACGAATATAAAAGTGTAATATCTCGGGACGAAGCGGGAGGTGAACATAAGAACCTTTTAGTGTGGTGCCACGGTAGCGCACTGAACTCCTTCCTACTTACATTTGCAAACGGCACTAGATATACATAGCTAAAAATAATACGAACATTATATGTGCACTGCCAATAAGCTTGCAAAAAAAATTGTTTGTATTAATGGCAAGGCTTTATTAAAGCAATACAAACCTATCCAGTATATGAATAGCATCAATAACTTGCTTATGTGTGGTAGCATTTTGTAAAGACTGTAGCGCCTTAGTACAGTTAAACAAAGGACAAGCTGCTTTCAATGATAATATATCTCGAGCCGTGGGTTTTAACACCAAAGGGGCCGCAGGAGGTGCTGTATATAAAAGCTTAGAGGTGACAGAATTCGCACACCACCATCGTACGCGGATTGCCGTTCGCCACTCTTCCTCGGTTAGAAGCCATTCTGTACAAAAAATAGAATATATTATTAAAGTTGCCTGTATTTTTCAAATAATTGCCATTTCATTGTAAAAGGTTGGTTTAATGCGCGTCCAATACTTTACGAGACTATGAAGAATGTGAAGGTAGTACATTCTTCATAGTAGTAGAACGTAGTGTGATGTCAAATAACTTAAAAAAATCCTCAAAAAGAATTTGCTAAACTCGGCTGGTCTTCACCAAAACAAATATTCCAGCTTTGTTAAAACTAGTACAATTATATCGCAAGTTTGAATGGAAGTTCATTCTTTTTGCACATTGGTCCCGAGAGTATTCGATAAATTCATAAAAAAAATATTTGATTGTATTTAAGACAGCAATCATGATTTCTAAAACCTTTACGTAGGCAGCAAAGAAACCAAACAAAATTTGTAGCAACAACCTTGAGAATAGTGAATTGTACACACGCGAGTAGCATAATAAACAATCTAACAAAGTTTCCAGAATTTATGTCCAGTGCTACATTGAAACTAAGAACATTACATTTAGTGTTGTTAGATGATGTTTTTTCGTGTCGTCACAATTTGTAACATTGCAAAGTATTTTGGCTGATTCCTTTTATATGGTAGGTCGACTGTCTAACGCCAAGCCTCTGTACTCTTCCTCCTAACTATTAATTCTCTTAGTAGTCCTACTGCTCCAAAACGGAGATTGGAATGCGGCAAACATATCGGTTGAGGAAGCTAGGGTCCCTTACCCCAGATCCCTTGCTGCACTATGAGTCTAGTCAAAAAATAGGAGTGAGACTGCAATAGCTCAAAAAGGTCCAGGTCGTTCTTATTCAGTTATTAACATCCTTTGACTGAAGAGCCTATCAGTACAGGGGCAATCTAACGCTGGTAGCTAATTGAATATTGGGTAAAGGGAACTAGAATATCGGTTTACATAACATGTACTATTTTTAAATCCATAACGAATATTTATCTTTTTAAACGTAATTAAATTAAGCAACTATACAATTTTAATTAACACCAGACACGTCAGCTATTGTATGACGTCAAGACAGGTGTTTTGGGAAACACATAGTTATGTAATTTATTATTTTTAGTTTGTTACTCTATATGCAAGGTATAAAGAAATTATAATGTACACCGACCTATAGCAGAGTGTTCAGCGTTTGGGCTGGTATTCCAATAACTATGTACATTGAAAGGTAAAGATGTCCGTTGAGTAACACTAAGCGGTAGTGCTGGTATCCGATGTCGAGAAGAATCCAGTTCTTGTAAAGCGAATCCAGCCCAAGATACTATGGTTAGAATTTGAGCTGCCATCAGCACTGAGGAATCATTGGCAGGAAATACTAAAATCACTAAAATAAAAAACTTCAATTAAGATACAACAGAAAAATTACATACTACTAAAATTACACTAATATGTTATTGTACATGTACATGTACATGTACATTTTTAATGTTTTAAACCACACACACGATGGAGATTTCCCAAATAAACATTATTTTGTAATACACACATCAAAAAATGCTAAGCATGTACGGTTTTGAACTTTTCAACGATTTTTACTATTATAATATATTTATATTTCTTTTATAAATAATATATAAGCATCCTTTTAGGCATTAGTGACTAATGCAATAAAATCCTATTCAATTCTTCATTTAATCACAATAATTAGCAATATGTGTACCGTAACATACGTAGTATAAAATCAAGTTTTAAGCTTCAATCAAGTTTCAATTAAGCTTTTCATGTTTTACAAAATTAAATAATGACATTTTTTTAATTATTTGTAATTCAATACAAAGTGTGACCGCCTCTGTTGTTTAAAACTTGTCGGCAATGATTTTGCATTGATTCATTTGAAATTGTTTATCTGATTATGCGGCAATCGCTTCTAATGGAATTTTAACAAGTCCTTCAGTTGTTGGGTTGTCAACACTATGGTCAGGTTCTCTAGAACACGTCTCTGGAGCATGTCCCATGCGTGCTCGATGGAGTTGAGGTCTGGCGATTGTGCAGGCCACGGCAATACTCGGATGCTTTCTACTGCCAAGTTCTCTCTGTTCCGAGCTGTGTGCGAACGCGCATTATCATGCATCAGCGTGAAATCTGAGCCAAGACTTTGTGCAAGTGGGTGAACATAAGGCCCGAGGACATCTTCAACGTAAGTTTCAGCGTTTATATTGCCATGCCAAAATAAAATTTTATCCCATTGCTCTTGGGTCCATGTCAAGTGTTCCCTACACCATTCGCTTCGACGGGCGCCTTTCCCATTGCGTATAGGCGGATACCTACTTGGGCGTCGTGCTCGTAGGCCGTATTTATGAAGCCTGTTTCTCACGATTTGGTGGTTAACAACAAAAACGGTTGAAAGTTGTAGTTTGCAGTCAGTTGTATGTATCGGTCCTGTCGAACAGTTGTACTTCTTCCACGTCCTGGATGCTGATCAGCAGGAGCCCTTGTACTACCATAACGCTGCCAAATCACGGTCCTATTGATCAAAATGCTGATATACCTGGAACTGATTTCGTCATCCTTGTAGCATTCCTACAGCAGTCGAATGGCGTCGCTCCATGACATAAAAAATTGACTTACCACTCGTTTTTTTCAAAACTGTATACGTACATATATCAAAATGATAAAAGTGAGATAAATACCAAATTTATCAAACAACGAAAGCACATGAAATCGGGAAAATAAGCTTTTATTTTAATGAAATCAATATACAATCGAAAAGTTTCATGATAACAAAAAATATTGTATACCAATCTACTTTGCTAAGAAAAAAGTAAAAACAAACAAAAAAAATAAAAAATAACATGCAGTTTCTGTAAATGACGCGTGTTGCTTCGAATTTTTTATGTGTGTACTACTTACGGCTTACCTCTAATAAGTAGTGCAGACAAATCAGATATTTTAGACAATTCATGTCTACTTGCAAAACAAATGCTATTCAGTACTGACACGCAACTAATTGCACATTCTGGAAATGCCAAATAGTCGTCCACCATAAGCGACATTCTGAAAAATAATAGGAAATAGTTTACTTATTTCATTTTTGAGTTGAGTTTAATTATTTACCAGTTGAAAACATTTATGGCTATTAATATTTTCATAAAGCACAATTTATCACCGTGAGAACAATACTTGTGACCGAGGGACATTATTACAACGGACGCGAAAAACTCCAACAACTACTCTACTAATGTTTTATTTTTGCAAAATCTAATAAACTCTTTCAACAGCAAGAGCATCTAAAGCGTCTTCACCTCAACTTCGGATGATATTACTTCTGTCTTCTAGACAGTTCTTGGCGGTTGTAATTTTCAATTTTGGCTAGCAAAATTAAGTATTCGGGTTTAGCATTTTATTAACTGTAGGCAATTTTTGATGGACATTGAAGAAGGGTTAGTTTGATGGAGATTTTTTTGACTAATTTCATCAATTGCTAAAAAGTTCTTAAAATCTGCGTTGTAAGCGGCTTATGAGCCAGGGCTTTTTTATTGATTTTTGAACTATCCCTCAATATTTTTATGAAAATAACTTACCTTAGTGTAGCAACAATAACTCGCACACCATCACTTTGTATGAAGGTGTGATGCAAGTCCTGTTGCCGCATCAGCACCGCGAGTTGCTGTAATGTGCTACGCCGTAACGACGGTTCTAAAGTGGGATGCATCGTCTTCCTTCCTACGAACTCGCCGTGATCATCCAAAACTATGTCTTGTTTTAATACATCCAAAATTTGGATAAGGCCTCCTGTCTAAATAAAAGATACCGCTATTAAAATGCACCTCTATGTTTGCACCTAATTTAATTATTTATTTAAAGAAATAACCACACTATCAAATATATTCTTTTGCCTACGAGTCTGACAAGTTTTGTAGCTTAATCCGTAATCAATGTCTCTATTGAAATGCTGAACTTATTCTGCACACAGTATAGTCAGGTAATAAATTAAAAGAAACCATATACCTGTAAAGTTTTTGTAGGTGAACTAGACAAATCTAAATTAAAATCTTGAGGTTCTATTCGCCGTAATGCACTTAACAAAATATCAGCACGTAAAGATTCTTTCGGTGGTAAGTATCGTTCGTCATCTGTAAATTTAAAATTTTATTGTCTCATTAGACATAAACATACCTTGCAAAAAACACTTTTCCATCACATGTGTGAGACAACAAAGAGTTACTAATGTCATTAAAGTATTGTTTTGTTTTTCTTAAATGTTATAGTAGAGTGTAGAGTTGTGTAGAGTGCGTAACACCTACTTTTTTTTATTACCATAAACCTTTTGTAGCAGAAATAGGTTTATGATATAACATATTTTACCCAAGAGACATATATAGGGGAAGAGCTTGGTCACAGCTAATAATAAGACTAAAAAAGTTACACATACTGCAAAGTACTAACCCAACATTTGGCATAAAGTATGTGCCGCATCCAGCTGTACAGCAACGCATCGTACAAAAAGAAGCCTCACTAAGCCCGTCATCACCTCTACGACGGACACGCCCATACAATCGGCAATGTCACGCTCCAAAGACTTGCATACAGCTTTACCTACGTAAGTAGTAAAGTAAATATAAATAGTTCCAACGTAGTTTTACCAACCGACTTTTTTCAACAATCATTCATGATAGGAATCCAGCAAAAGCCACAATAGAAGTAAATATTAACCATAATGCTTCAAAGAAATTAAGTAAGACTTACATAAAAGCATAATCACACATTGCGACAACATTGTTTTTAAAAAAAAGAGGAAAAAAAACATTATATAAGAGTATTAGATACGAGTATAATTACATATTACACAAACCAAAACTCCTACCAAGTCGAAAGATAGGCTTAGATGGCTAGAGTTCGTATTTAATTTGTGGCCAACTTATCCATCCAACCACCGCTCAGGTCCGCATTTCGGGAGACCCCGTTTCTGTGTTGGACTCATTTGAGATGTTTTGAGTTACTTACCTAACTGTGTTTCATGGGCTGCGTATACATGCAACAATGGCAATACTGGCAACAAGCTGGCCAGTAGCCGCCACCAATAGCTCTCGCTGAGGATTAGTCGTCCACGCAATAAATATAGCATTATGTCGGATGCACTTTCTTCTACCTACAAAATTATAAAGTTAGAGGGATTTAAAACACCATAATACCTATATTAATAACATAATAAACAAAATATAAATCAGAAAACATCTGACATATATCCGTGTGGTGACGGATTAAAAATACGGAGTTTCACCACCCCTATTTATCCCACAGGTGTCGTAAGACACAGGTGTCGACTAAGAAAGCTAACTACGCAGGACAACCTCACTGCAAAGAGAAGGAAAACTTGTAAGAAACCCTCTTGCTGGCCAGACGAGTAACAACAGCGTGGTACAGTAGGCCAAAACCCCCTTTTTAAGGAGAGGTCTATTTCCAGCAGTGGACTAATAAAGGCTGTTGATGGAAAAAGTAAAGACAATGTATTATTGATCGTTCTTGTGGCAAAACTATGTGGAAAGGTTAGAGTAAGCTACAGACTTTATATTTTATATGTGACAACTCTCATTAACTATATATGTAAGTATTTACAAAAGAAGTATATAAGTATTCTGTCCGTCAATCTAGCTTTCATACTACAAGCTCTGCTTAGTTTGAAACTAGATGGCGTTGTGTGTCAGAAGTGCGAAAATATTATTATTAATTAGTAAAAAACGGGTCTTCTGCTCTCCTTTGCATTGTTGGGCCTGACGTCAATGGCTCATTGTTAACATATGCTAAATTGTGACTTGAAAATGTTATTATTAATTAGTAAAAAAACGGTTCTTCTGCTTTCCCTTGCACTGTTGAGCCTGACGTCAATGGCTCATGGTTAACATATGCTAAATTGTGACTTGAGTGGCAACTGTCCGTGGGCGGGGTTGTTACTTACCATCAGGTGACCCATCTACTTGTTTGCCTACCTATACCATAAAAAATTGAGCCAAATATTAAATGTTTTTCATTGATTACCTCTTTTACTGCAGAAGACAGGCCGTGGCAGCATATTTCCGTTAGGATACCAACGTCGCACAACAGTGTAAGGCATTTTTCATTATCAGCCTGATAATTATCGTCACCAACTAATATAGACTTTACCATGTCACCTAGTAGTTTATAGAAGGTGGTCCGAACCCAGATTAAATTATGAGCCATTAGACTAAGCGCTATGTTGCGAGCCTCAGACCAATCGCCATCAGTCAACTCCATATCCTTAGTTTTCTTAAGAAGAATATCTGAGATATCAAACAAAAAGTTTTCGTTTTGAAGTAATTCTAATACGGGCAGTGAATTCTTGATACGTGTGAAAATCGTTTTTGAATAATGTGATGTTTTGTTCTTCGCGAATAAAATAGCGTCATCCATGCTCGCAAACAAATTTTTTAATGCTCTATACTTGCTTCTGTACTCCTGATTAACAACTGTCCGCGTATTCTAAAACGTAAAAAGATACAAACATATTATTTAAAACTACAAAACTACATTTAATGTTGTGGTTTCGCATATTTTTTTAAATGAGTTTCAAAGTACGACACATTGTTAATATTATACTCGAGCATAGTACTCATTATCTGAAGGAAAAGTACCCTATTCCTGTTTTGTATGTTTAGCATAGCAAAATGTTTATAATATAATCAATTAAACAGTTCAGCAGTGCCATAATATTATAAAATACGCATTAAAAAGGGCAAACTTATATTGATTTTTTTACATTAAAAGAATATATCGAGACCTGAAAAGGAACAAGAATACCAATGACACTAATCTAATACATTATTCTATCACTAAAATTCGAAGAGATCCATTTTTGTTCAAGGCTAAGTACTCATCACTACTATCATAATTTTCCTGTCCATTACCCAAATTGATATAGGACTGTTATACTGTTATACTGGTTTCTTTTATGGTGTTCGTATATTTTCAGGATTAGGTAACTCAAGTTATCTTCCCTTTTCCGTAGGAAAATGGATAGGGCGATAGGATAAGGGATGCCGTATGTCTCGGATGGAGCAACGGGTCTAAAAATATAGTAGTTCGAAAAGGCCGGGATCGCATATATTCCAATGATAATGCAACTATCATTAATTAGTAAATATGTACCAAATTAAATAACTTTATCCACTTGCCTCCAAAATGACATCAATATTTTTACTCAGCTCCGGATAAAATAACTCGACAGCGGGATCTAATTGCGCTAGTTGCATAGCATTTACCAATGTAGTCGGCGGAAGAGCGGAATCCAGAGCCCAATGCAACAGTTTTTCAGCAGACATCATCAGCCGTAAGGATGCCAAGCGGTGATGAGATCTATCTGGGTCCTCAAAATATGATTTCCTGTAAAGAATTTAATAATTAGAATGCGCCATAAGTAAAAGGAAGGAAGCCGGTTGGCCACTAAAGTGTTCGTACGAAAATTTTAGAAATCTGGGACCCATTGTGAAGCCCATTAGAAGTCCCCAATGGCTTTCAAGAAGTCTAGATAAGATTAGGTTACAATAAAACTTGTTCCCAAGTAGAGTAATATGCATATACATAAGTAAGTATTTAAATTTAAATATTCATATTAATTATTTAAATATTCATATTAATTATTGTTACTAAAGAGAACCATAACGTAACCGTCATCAAAAGAGATGAGTTAAGTGACAGAAACAGTGGCCACTTTTAGGTAAAGTGAGATCTAAAATGCACTTTGTTGTGTTAGAAAAAGAGACACTATTTATGATTAACTAACTTTAAATAAAGTAGCAATGAGGTTAAAATTCAATTGACTGCACAGATGGCGTAGTGGATTACTACTACGCTGAGTGTTGTGGGTCCGATCCCCACATGGGACGACACTTTGTGTGATCCACAAATTGTTGTTCTGAGTCTGGGTGTTCTTTGTGTCCGTTTCATCGTTTCGTTTGTAGTCCTATAGATTGTAAAGTCGATATATTTCTAATGCGGTTGTCTTTTTTAAATATAAATATATTACATATTAAATTTCTATGTTTGGCCTACACAGTACAATTCAAACGATATTACAGAAAAACACCCATTTCTAAAATTAACATTATTTAAAATTGTATGATCGTTTGAATATGAAATAATTGAATATTCATAATTTTATAGCTATGATTTTTTTAAATATTGAGAAACAAATAAATATCCACTCACCTATACTTTAACAAAAGGTCACCCATTAGTCTCATAGCCATGCAGCTTTTATGAGATATATCTCTATAGATTTTAGCGTTATGGTCCATATTCCAGAAGCTAGGGTTAATACAATCAAGTAACAATACGACAAGACTTTCCACTATTCTCAAACAAGTATTCACCTCTTTCTAAAAAAACACAGTGTTATTAGAATATTTGAAAAACTCGAAATTTACGAAATGAACTTGATGTTTAAGATATTTTTTATCAATTTACTTAAAATTGAAACTCATTTAAAATTTGAAGAATAAAATACTTTGATTAATTTTCTGTGTCAATGTTTTTTTCTTGTCTTAGGATTTGAAAGAAGTTGAAAGAGTTTTCGAAAAAAGAAAATTTCATTGTTGGATTGCACGTATGTTTATTAGCCATATTACGAGATTACTAGCTTTGCCGTCTGGCTAAAGCCCAAATAGTAAAACCCGTTGAAAATAATCAGTCACTTACGATTTCCAATTTTTATAATAATCTCCTAGTAGTCATTTTAATAATAAATTAATTTTACATTATGAACTCTATTAGTTCCTATTAAAAAATAGAAATTAGCCATTCGAAAGTTAACGGCTTTTTAGTTAAAGGGCCGCAGAGCTGAGATAGCTATATTCTAGTAAGAGATGCTGTCACCAGAACGGCTAGTCGACTAACACGTTCTATGGTGTGCATAGTTAAAGAATACGTATGTTCTTTTATACTGTAAACTTTTTATTTTTTCATGTTTCTGTATTATTATTTCATTTGGATTGATTCAATTAAAATCGCACCGTTCCGGATATACAAAATATACGAGTGTTCTATTAAGTCACTTACCATATCCAACCATTCAGTTATGTCGACAGGGTCCACTAAAATGGCACTTCTTGCCAAGATCGATAGTACCACATGTAAAGTATCTAAAGCAAAGACTGGTATTGGTAACTGTTTTAGCGTTATAAGTCCATCTTCTTCTTGGGGTGTCCCAGGATTACAGTCTCCAGCTATTTCCTGTAGTTCCAAATTTAAACCATCGTCTATTTCTTTGTATTCGTCTAAAACCTAATACAATATTAATTAAAAACATCTTAGAATTTTAATCAGGTTCACAAAGTCAATGGCAATAATATTAAAAAAAGATTTTAAATATATGTAAAACTACTTTTCGTAAAACTTTCGTAAGAAGGATAAGCTTCCAGGGTCCCTCCTCTTAGCGTACAACAAAGACCAGATATTCTGTGCTAATACCCCTTACTGAGGCATGTCTAGGTACAAACGGATTCGACCTCTCATGGGTAGTTACTGAATCGGATGGAGAGGAAAACCTGTCCTCTTGCAGATACATTCAGCACATGCAGTCACATGTAAGTCTAAAGCACCAAAACTGTAATTTTATTCGGTTACCTTAGTAAATTCATGAATCAGATCTAAAGACGACAGTTGCAAAATTCTCATGTGCAAAGCTTTTGTTATATGTAGGAGTACAAATAGAGCTTCTCCGGGTCGTCCGCTATGGCTCCCGTCAGATATCGTCAATAAACTCTGAAATTAAAAAATATTTTGTTGGTTGTACATAGGAAAAAATTAAAGACAACAATTTATTTTTAACGCCGCTAACAGCGCCCGCCTGCAATAGCGCCTTTTTTCATGTGATTAACTGGTGACCCCCAGTATTGCGTTTATGAAGGACAGAGGTAATTCAGGGACCTCCGGCACCTGAGCCGCTTGTAATTGCCGACCTGGCGGACCAGAAGAGTTCTCTGAGCGAGAGAATCCCCACCGCGTCTCGCGGTCATGTCTCTGATCCATCCAGGCTGGGCATTCTGCCTTTCGTGTTGAGCATCGTGTCCACGCTCTGGCCATCGCAATGGTGGCAACCAGGCATTGGCTCCTTGTGGATCAGCCGCATGTGATCTCCGAAGCATTTTTTCTCGGTGATCACTTGCGTCAGCCGGTATGAGCGGATCCCGAGTTTCCCCTCGAGCCAATCCTCCATAACGTCTTATGGAGCGATAACGGCGTGACCTGATTAAGCCGCCCCATGATTTCCCGAACGTAAAACTATCTGCCCTGCACACCTGGGTACGGGAGCCAGTGGGTTGGTGTAGGTGGGTGGTGGCTTAATTAGTCTAAATGATAATAGTTGACACATTGAGAAGCCATAACAATAATAAATCGTCTAAACATTTTTATCGGGTCAGAATATGAATATTCTTAGATAGATACACACATAGCTTCACACATTCATTTATAAGTCAATTCAGACATTGCATAAGAAGACGGTTAGGGTGGGCAGACTTCTTGGCAACAATCAGTAGGAATTACAGATATACCCGGATCGGACTTAACACATAGATTTATACGCCATAGCCGCCATGCATCCGATGATGAGCACTATCCTTCTTTTGTTTTGAACTATAGATGGATTAAACCACAATCATTCGACAAAAAGAATTTTGATTGATTTTGTTGGCATTTGATTTTGTCTTAGACCAAATCACATTCACAGGTGAAATCGCAATGACTAACACCAATCAGTTCATCATATAATTATGATTTAAACGTAGCAATAATTGCCATGTCTATTTTGAATTCCCAATTTGTCCATCTAGTTCCTAAAGTGGCTGTTTAATGGCAATAAGCTTTTCCGTAAGTAGGATTAACATTAAAGTCGGCGAAACATGCTTGTTTGATTTGCCTTGGTTTACGTTGTTGGTAACACAAGATTGTAAAGACTTGAAAGTGCATGGTGGATAAAGAATAATTTGGATGATGTATATGCATATTTTTCTTTTCTACCAAAGAGCCAGTTAGTTTTAATTAACGCCTTGGTATGTAGGGTTCTTTTGCCAGCTACTACACTGCGTTTGACACATTGTTTGGTAAAGAGGACAATATGGGTAACAGATATCCGGGACTCACATATAATACCTACTTAAATACGTGATAATATTTATGCCTTCTTATTAAACATAGCTTACTTTAATTATTTCAGGTCGGTTCAGAAAGATTTCTGGGGGGAAATCCCGAAGAAATACGTCACGTATAAACCGGCAGCATCTTCTTGTGGATTTAAGTAATCTCAAGGCATCTTCCACCAACAACAGAGTCTTCTTGTCGGACTGGCAAAGGTTTACCCAAGGGAACAGCAATATGCGAATACTGTCTTCAATATTAGTGCTAAAAAAAAAGCAATATTTTTAATATTAAAATCAGCTTTTTTTAAACTATTATTTAGCTACAATTATGTGTTCCTATTTATTTAATTTCATATACTTACCACTAGCCCTGGACATCAACCAGGTCTATCCAAATTGAATATAACATAGAAACCAATATATCATCATCACATCATCAACAGCCTTTAATAGTCCGCTGCTGGACATACGCCTCTCCTTAGAAAGCAGTTTTTTTTTCTTAAGACAACTCCCGCATTAGGAATATATATTCTGTGTCGCGGGGACTTTACAAACATACATAAAACGGACACAAAGAACACCCAGACTCAGAGCAACAATTTGTAGATCACACAAAGTGATGTCCCAAGTGGGGCTCGAACCCACAACAATCAGCGTAGTAGTAAACGGCGTGGCGACCGCTTAAACCACAACGCCATCCGTGCAGGTCAGAAAGAACCGATATATGTTGTTGTTGAATATGTTTAAAGTTTAATACAAATAATGTACAAAGAATTACATTAGTATCCAGATTTTCATATACAAAAAGAAAAAATAAAACTTACTTCTTACGCGTGTGTACGTCAGAATCATTGGATATTGATGTTTCCTTTGAGGATTTAAAATTCGGGCCTAAATTATAGTAGTTACAACTTGACGCCTCCTCACTTTCTGAACTGAAATTTTTAGAATTAATTTTTTACTGAAAATTGATATCTATATACATAGTAAAGATTTTAATATAACAAGCCAAAATTTTATTCAGAAGGTTAATTCTCGTAATAAAAGTTCAATCAACTTACGATATCTGTCATAAAAGGTATGTTCGTAGTAAAATAATAAGTATTACTATAATTATAACAGACTAGCAGATTACCAATTTAAGTTTCGGTTGCAATACGATATAATCACATTACAGTAAACGTTGAATGTTTAAGACTTTAATATGAAAATACCTTTTATGACAGTTGTGAGATCGAGAGTTGATCGGAACTGAATTGACAACGAAATTTTATTACGAGAATTGACCTACTGATCATAACAAACTTTTTTATGACATTGGAAAGCATATGAGGAGAATCGTCAAACACAGTCGACAGTCGATGGTAAATGACTACCGCTCCCAATGAACACCTGGATCTCAAGAGTCAAAAGTGTGTTGCCGCCTTATACATCCTTCTCCCAGAATCTGATAAGAGGCGGAGGCGGATTTGTGCCAAAGCATGTTAAACTTCAGTATATTTTTTGGTGCCATACTAAATTGAACTTTATTCATGCTCTCGAAGGCTGCTTACTATTTAAATGTTAAGCTTCTATTATCAATACCTTACCAACATTTAAAAAGTCTGCTCTATTTCAAAATATGTACCTATATCTATAGTAATAAATAGTACACATCTTCATATCATTATAAAGTAAAAGTACACTAATCATTACATACCTATTACTAAAGAATATAAAACCTTTTTTTTAAAGAAAAGGATTTAAAATCATTATCTTAGTGTGCTTATATTAGTCACCAACCTTGTCATGTCTTGCAGAGTAAGTCTGGGTATTGCTACATTGCTGTCAGATACTACAGTGTTCATGAATTGCAAAGTCTCAATAACATCATTGTAAACTTCTAGTGCATCTACAGCAATTTTATGTTTGACTTTGTTTAAATTTGACAAAATTGATGGTATCCCAAACTCCTTAGTAATGTATGAGCCTGCTTTAGTCTACAAATTTAAGAAAATCATATAACTAAAAATATCCCCATATCTTTCAAACAGTAGAGGCAAAGGGCTTATTTTTTATTGCTATCCAAAGTATGTTGCTTAAGAAGATTACTCAAAGTAACTCTAGACTAGAGAGTTGCTAAAGATTGATTCTAAACATAGTCTGAAATACCCTGACAATATTTTATGCAAACCCTGTCTCCTGGAGCTGGAGTTTTTACTTATACACCCAATGTAAGACAGTTAAGACAGAAATTAATAGTCACTAATAGAATAACTGTTAGGCAATCATTTCAGGTTTGCTGTGTAATACCTTTCCGTGGGCATTCCTGCAACCTAAAGGCCAATTTTTGTAATAAAAATTCAGTTACAATTTAGTTATAATCAACTTATCTTGTAAGTATTACTAAGACTAGCAGATTACTGTTTTAATTTTTGTGATAAACAAAATATAACAATACCAAATAATCATAATACTTTAATATGATACAATATAATAATTACACTTTTCTGCGAAAATACCTTTTCTGACAGTTGTGAGATCAAGAGTTGATTGGAACTGAATTGACAGAACTTTTATTGTGAGTATTGGCCTTCTGTGAGAGTTTTTGGGAGCAATAAAGAGGTGGTATTCAATTTGACTAATGAATGCATGCGATCATACAGATGGCTGTCTGATCGTAGGTGAACAATCAGATATCATCATTTGCCACTACCGTAGAGCTCACTATTGTTTTTTATAAATTAAGTGTATCATACCCATGTTGCTTGAAATTAAACGATACATTTTTATTTCAATTCCTTGGGGTAATTGCAAATCGGAGGTTATTAGTAGATTTCTTTTCTAAATCATTATAAACTTTAGTTATGTGAATTTAGGATCATATCAACATGATTTGAATAAAATCTTATAAAAGTACGTTAAGAACTCTTGATAGTTATTCTGTTTCAAGTTACATCACGTACATGAACTCACTTTAATGGTTGTAAGTAGAAGTTGAAGTACTTCACGTTGTAACGACGGTTGAGAGACCTCAAACCAAGCTAGTAATCCTTCCAATAATTCTCTTGTGCCCGATAGCTCATCATCCAACTCCCACCCTAACTTTAACTTGGCAGTCAACAACTGTAAGGAGCGCTCACGAATTTCTTTCAGAGGATGACCTGATATTAAATAATAAACAGTAAGTAGAATTAATTATTAATAAATAAAGATATGACGGTTAAAAACATTATTTACTCAGTTTTTTTATGTACAAAGACAACATCTCGGTTTTAGCCATATATCTATCCAAATAACAAAATATAAAATCTTCACATTGTTTTGTTTACAACTTTCAATACTTTTGAACAACTTGACGTAACGATTTCTCTACTTTTACTGTCACTGGTGACTGTCAACTGTCAACCATAACATAGATGATACAATGTATTGGATTTAAATTATATATTTATACTTTGCTGTAATTAAATTTCAAAATGTTTTATGGGAAATTCGCTTGAGTGGTATTATTATTTTTCAAATAAATAAATAAATATTAAATGTCATCTAAAATGATACAATTTGTTTGTATCTGCGTAAAAATGAAGCCGCATGTCTCAAAGCATGATCACAATGATGGGAAGATTTGCCCCTTGTATACTAACTTTCGGATTACATGATGTATGGACCTGATCAAAAGTTTGTAATACCTATTTCTTTATCTCATTACCAAACATTTATTATATATATATATATATATATGTTATACTCCCCTTGTGTCGTTGAGGCATAACACTTGTTCTTTCATAGTGGTGACCACAATGTAACAGCATCATCATTCCCGCTAATAATCAGAAAATGAAATTCAAGATGACCGCTATCACAAAATTACGGTTTTCTTTTTTGTTTCAAAACTTAAGTAAAAAATTATAGTTTAAAAGTTTAGATTAGTTAGTTAATTTTCAAACAAATCCGGATTTAAGCATGTAGATGTATGTGTTTGCCAGCCACCCACAATCCCACCTCAACATCTAGTATCGGGACAGCAAACAAACTACAGTTCACCATATTTTTTTAGTAAGAAAACACAACTCTAGCACTACTAATGTATCCTGTGTCACGGGAAACTTTACACACCTACATGAAAAGGACCCACAAAATGTTGTCCCATGGGGACGGGGATGTGGGATATGATATGATATTTTGGAAAGACATAGAACACTTTATTTCACACTACCAATTTTATGATTACTTTTATTCGAGGCTTTATTATGTTCTATTTAACATTTAATCTTATGAGGACAACAACAATCTGGCAATTCCTAATGATATCTATATGCTTATCTGAAAATGTTAAGTTGGTTTGTGTAAGCTTCAAAAACTCAAAAAGTTCTGCACCAATTGAGTTTCACATTAAGACAAACTTCTTCAAAGATTGGTTTTATTCAATACTAGCTGACCCGCACAACTTCGTCTGCGTCTCTCAATAGTAATAAATTTTCTCCGTTTTTGAAACATTCTTCATTGGTGCTCCGCTCCTATTGGTCTTAGCGTGATAATATATAGCCTATAGCCTTCCTCGATAAATGGGCTATCTAAAACTGAAAGAATTTTTCAAATCGGACCAGTAGTTCCTGAGATAAGCGCGTTCAAACAAACAAACAAACAAACAAACTCTTCAGCTTTATAATATTAGTATAGATTTTTTCAAATCAGTTATGTTCCTCATTTCTCATACATGTTAACACGACGCACCAATAATAAATACACATATTAAGTCACCTCTCTTTTTGGACAAGGCAAAGAGATCACGAATGTCCTTGTTCTTCCCCTATATCACTTTCACAAACATAAATGTAAACGTAAGTCACGATCTGTACCAAGTACGCCTTTTAAAATTATTTCAGGGCTTAAGTATCATAATTCCAATATCTGTATGGATCTCCATATCTGCAGAATGGAATCACATGGATTCGAAGAGTATTTTTTTCTCTAAGTCGGATGCGAATATTAGAATAGGTGTGTATCATATAGTGCGCTTCTTTCGCTGTTTGGTTCGATCTTTTTAATTATACGCCTGGCAAGACTGCCAAGTTCAGTGTTATTTTTGACAACCGGGCGACTTGCGAAGTTGTTAGTGTGAACGGGCTAAGCTTTTTTTTACTTACGCTGTGTTAATAGTTTCATATTTAATGAAATCCCTAAAACAATATTAACAATTGTTTTATATTAAGTTCATTGATAATCTTATGAGTCCATATACCTTTTGTTTTAAACCTTCGAAGTAGTCTCCATAACCACTGGGCTTAAAAATATTTATTGCTATGTTACGGTGCCTTGTATAGCCATACAAAGGACATTTATGCTTAACACACTGCAGTAAGTTGATATAGACTGTTTCAGTTCCTACTTTTTAGTTCTGAATGAAAGTATAATAAATATTTTGATCTATTCATTCTGTGTTCCAGATGGCAGACATTAAATCTTTACTGAAAGATGCCAGAAAATTAATAGATGAAAAGAATTATAAAGAAGCTCAAGAATGTTGCAAAAATATTTTACGAAACGACAAACAAAATTACTTTGGTTTAGTATTACTTGGGAAAGCTCTTCAGGATTCAGAGCAAGCACCACTAGCTTATCAGAAAGCCATAGCAAGTAAGCCTGATCATTTACTTGCTTGGCAAGGTCTTGCAAACTTTTATGAAAGGAAAGAAAATGTTTCTGACAAAACAAAATTATTTGCCATTTATAAAGAAATGCTGAATTTACAAATCGAGGAAGAAAAAGCTGTTGATATTCTATCTAAACTAGGGCTGTTGGGTTGTACTTTAAAAAATAGAGAATGTCTTCACATTTTAATTAAATATATAGAAAAGAAATTAAACAACAATGTGGCCAAAGTAGCAGAAAAATATTTTGTACAACTACTGACAATCGAAGTACCATTACATGAGCCAGATATACCATCTGTCCTTAAAATCTTATCTAACATATATATTGAAGATCCAAGTGATTCTCTAGAAATGTTGCAATGTAAGGTAATAATCCAGAAATCAAATTTTTCAGCTGCTGTAGAGGAAATAATAAAATCTCCTTTTTTCCCCACAAATGTAATATTAAGAGATTGGCTTTGTAAGCAATTGTGTACTAAATATGTAGAAAAAATGTCATTCTCTGGTTTTGAAATTGAAAAATATATTGATACCATTAGTGAGGGCATAATGAATTCAAAGTACCCAAGTATTTTAAGAAGTATGATATGTTATGATAAAGGTTTATATTTAGAAGCATATAAACAGTGTGTTCCCCTTGTGAATTACCATGAAGCAGAAGTTATGGAAGCAACATTCATAATAAAATGTACAATAATGTTAAAAAAATGGTCTGTTGCTCAGAAACTTGCAACAAATTTTTTGACAAAAGTAAAAGATCAAGAATTTGCACATACCTTAAAAAAGTTCTTGTTGTTATCTTTAACTAACCAACAGAAATGGAATCAAGCAATATCAATTACTAAAGACATACCTATAGATATTATGGAAACACATGATCTAGCTAATCTTGCAGAATGTTATATTGAAGCTAATGAATCTGCTGACCATATTATGAAACATTTAGAAACATCTGAATACTCTAAACAATTGCAGGCTCTGTTACTATTAAAACATAATAGATATGAGGAAGTCATAGATTTACTTCAGGATTCAACAGACCATTTTTTACATGTACTTTATTTGGGTAAAGCATATTGGGAACTCAAACAATATGATAAGTGCTTAATTTATCTTCTTAGAGCAGCTAAACTTAACCCTGACCATGCAGACACATTTTTATATTTAGGCTACTTTTATCGAGATTTCAAAAGTGATGAAGGAAAAGCAAAAAAGTGTTTTGAGAAAGCAAGTGCCCTAAACCCTATTGATTGCACTATTGCCAAAAATCTAAGTGAAACATATATAAAATTACAACAAATGGATTCTGATTTTGAATTATTGAATACACTGAAAACAAATGCACCAACAATTGAGCCATGGGTTAATTTCAGATTGGGCCTGCATTATTTACGTAAAAGAGAATGGGAAAATGCCATCCTAAACTTCAGGAATGTTATCAAAAGTAACCACAATGATACTGTAACCTTTGAATGTTTGGCTGATGCATACTATGCCCGAGGATCTTTTACCTCTGCCTTAAGAGCTTATAAAAAGGTTATGACATTAGATCCAGATAAAGCTGAACACTGTTTGACTAGAATTGGATATATTCACTCATTATTAACGCAATATGAAGAAGGAATTGCAACATTTGAACTGGTATTTAAAATTGATCCTTATTCAGTTCTGGCCTTGAAAGGAGTTGCAGAAACATGGATGAGAATCGCCAAGAAAAAAGCTGATGCCAAAATTTATGGTACTGCTAGGGATTGTGCACAACATGCTGTAGACCACATCTTAAAAGCACTATTTAAAAAAAAGCAATTTTTATGTTTCTGGAAACTTTTAGCTGATAGCTTAATGTTTATCACAAAGCTACCAAACCAATATGCCTATGTGTACATGCCCCCTTTGACAAAAGATAGTGGCAATATGGAATCTTCCAAAAAAGACAAATTTGAAATATTTCCACAAGCTATTGCTTGTTATTCACATATAGCAAAGCAGAAACAGCAGGTGACTTCCTATGATTTAGCCTCAGCCTACTTGGCTCTATTTTATGAGACTCAAAAAATAGTTAACTGTAATTTATCTTTTAACTTGACTATAAAATGCATCAAAGAGAAACCTACATCATGGCGTCATTGGAACTTACTTGGAAAAACATGTTTAGTCATCAAGAAGTATGATATTGCACAACATTGTTTTATTAAGGCCTTAACAGTAACAAGAAAATGGTCAGTGGCTAAAATATGGTGTAATTTGGGATCACTTTATCTGAAACTTCAATTATATAAACTAGCCAACTACTGTTTTTGGAGAGGACAGTCAATATTACCATCATATCCTCAAAGTTGGATAGGTCAAGGACTTATTGCAGAAGTCATTCGTGAAGAGGAAGCAATGGACTTATTCAGACATGCATCACGTCTCGGCTATCATCCAGAAAGTGCTCTTGGGTATGCTGATTGGGTGTGCAGAACTTTGAAAAACAATAAATACAAAGAAAGTTCAGAATTCAAATACGAAATTGAAGGACTATATGCAATACCATATTCCATAGATCTGGTTGAATGGTATTGTAATTTTGAATCTGATAATGCATGTGCCTATAATATACTGGGTATATTACAAGAAAGACATGGCTTACTGCGATCGGCAATGAAATCATATGAGCAAGCATTCAAATATGCAGAAGATGATAAAAAGGACACAGTTTTGTTAAACATAGGCAGAATTTTGGTTAGAATGGAGAAATATGAAGAAGCAATAAAAATATATAAGGCTATTACTGAAGCCAGCTTCAATTCTACAGCAGGACTAGCTTTAGCACTATTTAAGAAGGGTTGTTATGAAGAATCATATTCAGTGTATGATACTGCATTGCAGTGGTTAAGCAATGAAGAGTCTGAAAAGGCAGATCTTTTAGTAGCTATGGCAGGTATAGTTTATATGTTCAAGGGTTTAGATGATGCTAAAACACTGTTGTTCCACAGTATTCAAGTCGCCCAGAAAAAGCCGACTCCACACAGTTTATTTGCAATTTGTTCCCTTGGCTTGATGCACTCTGATCAAAGTCTCTCAAAACTAGCCTTGGGTGAACTTCGAAAATATGAAAAGGATAACAAATATGGCTTTGATATAGGGTTCCTAAAATCATACCTATCTGTTTGTGAAGATAACATGGATCATGCTATAAAGCTACTAAGTGATTGCCTTCATGACCATCCTAGCAATGCGATGTTATGGTTTTGTATGGCGCAGTATTGTCTTCGAATTCGTAATACAAAGGCTAAAGTGGCCAGCTGCTGTGCTCAAAAAGCTCTATGTACAGCACACTATGGCGAATATGATTGTAATGCTGGTAAAATCCTAGCTTCAGCTAGCATTGCAGAACACATGGCAGGTGATTATGTAAAATCTTTGCTGTTAGCCAAAGGAGGGTTGCATATGTTTCCAAACCAAGCTGAAATTTGGGCGGCACTTTTGTTTTCACTGTTATCTAATACCTTATGGATTGAAAAAAAGAATTGGCTTTTGGGTGCTGCCGCACATATGCGCCGACATTTGAATGTACCTCGACAGCTTAGTAGGTGGATTATTCTAATAGAAAAGAAATTAAATAAGTAACTTTTACATGTTTCAAGATTTTTTTAAGACTAAACAGGACAGTGAGAAAACAGAAAACCACACTGACATGTATAGAACTGAAACCAATTCTCGTTATAAAAGTTCGGTCAAAATTCAGTTCATTCAGTCGATCTGTCTTCGATCTCACAAATGGTATGAAAGGTATTTTCGTAATTAAGTATTAAACATTAAATGTTGACTGTAATGTGACTATATCGTATTGTAACAGAAAGTTAAGCCAGTAATCAGCTAGTCGTAGTAATACTTTACTATTTTACTACGAAAATACCTTTTATGGCATAAGATCGAGAGTAGATCAGAACTAAATTTTGACTGAAATTTTTATTACGAGAATTGACCTTCTGGTGTTTGTTGTGTGGGCATTAACCATAAAGTTACACTCGATGCCAAAGTGACAATAACGGATTTTACAGAAACAGAAAACTGAAGATCATAAAAAAAGTAGTTATTCTTATATCATTATGGTGTACTAATGCATTTTATAGAAGTGTGGTAGTAATTCGGTTATTGTAAATGTAATGAGAAAATTATATGTTACTTTGTTAGGAGTTCTTATTACATTTACATTTAATGCTGTTGAAACTAAACAGACCAGTCAGATTAAACTAAAACACATATTTCAATTTATATTCATTTATTTATAAAACTTAAGAATAATAAAATAAAAGCTTATGATGTAATTCAACAAGTTTTAGTTTTTTATATTATTATCTGGAATCCTTCTGAAAATAGCAACAAACTTATCACCATTGTTTCTGGTTACTTTTTTACCTTCTTCTGTACTTTCATACAATTTATCCACTATTGGGTCGGATTTCTGTAATTACAAAATAAAATCAATTACCAGGAATTGTTATAATAAATATTATTTTACCTACCTATTTTCTCATAATTTATTATGCCTGCTTATCCTGAACTAGCAGATTCTTTGCTCATACCTTCATTCAAACATGTTCAAAAAAAGTATCACTAGCTGCTAACTTTTTACTGCAAATCTATACTAATATTATAAAGCTGAACGAATTGTTTGTTTGGTTGAACGCGCTAATCTGTTTTGAAATGAATAACTCTTTTAGTGTTGGATAGCATAGGCATTTATTAAGGAAGGCTATAACTAGAATCACGCTACAACCAATAGGAGCCGAACATGAATGAAAAATGCTGCTATCACTAAGTGTGAATGATTAGTCAAAGTACTTGATTAAAGAAGAGAAATAAATAAAGCCTAGGTGCACCCTGACACCAGAAATGAGGAACAAAATAGAGAAAAAAATTAACGCGAAAATATCTATTTTTGTCTTTAAATGTCAAAACGTCTTTAAATTGGTGTGTATAAAATATCATATAAAATATTTATATGGGCAAATCCTCCCCATGCAAACGCAACAAACGGTGTGTATCATATAGTGTCAAAATTTGAGCTCAATTATTGCAAAGCTTTTCTAGTTTTTGAAGCGTACACAAACCAATTTAACATTTATACATGGTTACTGGTGACTTACCAATAACCCTGTATAAAAATACACCTACTGGTAAGTCGACTTAGATACTTTAGTGGGTTGTAGCAGCCATTATTTCTAATTGATTTTACTATGAAACACCATATTCCAATCCTAACCATTTTCAAGATTTTTTTTTTTTATTGTCGAAATTTTGCCTAATACATTTTTTTTTATAACTTATATCCTCAATTTTTCCTTGTTGTAACTTCGATACCTTGTTTTATAATTTTTATTACCAAAATTGTAGTTAACTTTACAAACTTGGCCGAAGTTGATGGTTTATAACAGCAAAATGAAATAAATAAAAAACATATTTTTTTGTGCAATAAGTATTCAAAAAAACCTATAACAGTTAAGCTGCAGATGTGTTAAATAAAAAACAAGTACGTATTAGCTATCTAAAAAAGTATAATTGTCTGGTATATCAGATTTCATAGAAAAACACTTAGATGAAAGAAAATGAGTATAACTATAGAAATAGCGTAGTAGTACCTAATAAAAAAACTAGGCTTGTATTTTTAGACTGTTTACTGTTCTATTCGTGACTAACTATTGCTGATTGGACTTTGATTTGTGCTTCTGATGCTGTAGAACAGAGTTTCCCAGGTCGAAATCGGTTTCCCAGGGATCGACATAAACAAAAACTGACATTGGGTTTCGACGAGGTCTAAAAATCGGCCCCTATTAATTAACACAAGTTCTTATTTTAAACTTTGAAGATACCATATTAGTTGTGTTACATATACCAATTTCTTATAAGAATGGCTAATATTTTAATAGAAAGTATCATTGTTGTACATTTAAAACACTCAACAAATTAATAATTTGGCCTTAGATGGCCATGGGGGTCTAAAGTATCAGTTCGTTTTGGAAAAGAGGTATCTTGCCCAAAATAGTTTCAAAATCCCTACTGTAAAAGATGATGACCTATACATACGAGGACTGTGGATATTTTAATAATCTCGGACGTCGAGTGCTGAATGTTACTGTGTTGGACGGAGTCTATCGACGAGTTAGAAAGACTAGCTCTGTTACAAGATGACGATGGGATCTGGTTAGATCGTGCATCAATGATGAAGATGATGAGCAAGACGACGAGATAGTTCAACGATTTAAATTGGATCCAACCATTTCATCAAATATTGTTGCCCAATAACTTAGACTAACAACCCCCTAAAGCATCTAGGTGGACTTAACCAGTATCCCTTTATATATCTAGATGGTTACCTATTGTGTTTTAGAGTCCCGCGCCCCTTAAGCAAAAGCAACCCTTATCATTACAATCATTTGAATGTCAGTCTGCCTATTATTTTTGCTTCAACTGATAGCAGGTCTGAACTACCCAGTGCAAGCGCATAGTCACGGAGGTCAAGTGTGCCAGAACGCCGTAACCACTAGCGGAACATTTTTCAAGTTTTAAATAGTTTCAGCCGAAATCTTTCCAGGCTACAGGTAAAATATATAATTTAAAAACATATTAATATTATTATATGGAATATGATTTACTTTTACTGGTTTCGTTTCCCAGAAACTAATCTTGGCTACACTCTTGACTGCACCGTGTTACCCACATTGCTAGGATTCTCAAAAAACTAAAAATAATAATGATTAACTTACCAATTCCAGATCAGTAATTCTTTCAAACAATGGATGCTCTTCAAAATGGGAGACCATCCACTCATTAAGATCCTTTACATCAGTAATTGTATATACAATACCCTGAAATTGAAATTGAAACACATATACTAATAAGTACATACGTATATTATATAGGCATTTACATGACAGGTAAAGAAAGATGTACCTATGCATAATATTTCATTTGGTATATTTTTTTTTAAAAGATAACTCCTACCTTAGGAATACATCCTGTGTCGCGGGAGACTTTACAAACATGCAAGAAACTGACACAAAGAACACCGAGACTCGGAACAAAAATTTTTGATCACACGAAGTGTTGACCCATGTGGGGATCGAACCCACAACACACAGTGCGTAGGAAGAGGCGAGGTGACCGCTTAAACGACTTCATGGAAAACCCTGCAGTCATTAAGTACAGTATAGCTTCGATTATCCGAATTAATTAGGGTTACATGGGTGTTTGGAAAACCGTTTATTTCAGATATGCGAATCATATTATTTTAGCCCTACAAGAGAAAGAAAATCATATTTACATTGGTACATATTTTTTACACAGAATTGGACCAGAAATGGGTTCTTATCAGCATGATCTAATTTCGTGTTTGAAGTAAGTTCTCATTTTACGACTTGTGGATTAGTCAAAAGAATTAAGCTGGGAAATAAATTTAATTATCCTCGTCTTAAGTCTTTTATATCCGTAATGGTAGGCTTGGCTTTGTATTCATTGGACAACTTGGTTCGAATTTAATACGAGGTTACCTGATAAACAGTTAAAGAGGAAGCTTTAACCGTTTCGCATTTATCTTTAATAGAAATAACCTAACATTTACGTTTAGGCATTTAAAACCAGTTTAATGTCACGTGGCAAAATTTTGTTAATGTTGACTACGGCTTTGACACACAGCAATGCACGCGCAAGTCAGTGAATTTATAATTATTTCATGAGAAATTGTAATAAACTGTATTCTTCATTATTTAAGGCAAGACGAGCTGTGTATTCTTCATTATTTAAGGCAAGACGAGCTGTGTACTCTTCCAAATAAAAAGTAATTCATCAAGAAGTTCTTACGTAACAAACATACATCATCATCATCAACAGCCTTTAACAGTCCACTGCTGGACATAGGCCTCTCTTTAGAAAGGAGGTTTTGGCCTACTATACCATGCTGGCCAGACGGGTTGGTATAGGGTTTGTTATAAATTTTCCTTCTCTTCGCAGTGCTGTTGTCCTGCGCAGTTTACTCAATTAGTCGTCTCTTACGACACCCACGGGATGAACAGGGGTAGTGACACTCCGTATTCTTAATCCGTCACCACACAAACATACAATCCAACCAAATTGAGAACCTCTTATTTTTTTTAAGTTAGTTAAAAGTTGGACAATCCATACTTAACTTATGTTATAAATATGATTCCTGTATACTTGACAACTTGTATCAAGCAAGGTCAAAACCGTCTTTTGAATGTGTTGCCATCAACAAAAGAAGAACAACATTATAAATATAAAAGAGACATTGTTTGTTACGCTGACGCGCCTAAACCACAGTATTGATTTTAAATTATTTCACCAATAGGAAGCTACATTATTATATACAATTAAAAAAAACTAACACATAAATCATAACATCAAATAGAAGTACTTTCTGTAGTTACAATAAGATACCTGTTCAGCTAAAACATAAGCATATTCTGACAATAGCCATTTATTTATTATCCTCCACTTATGCTTTGCTTTCTTGAAATGAGGGTCTGGATAGAGGAAGAACATCTTTTTTAGCTGAAATCAAATTATATGTGAAATTAACACTAAACAGCTTTAATAATTAAAATATGTTCATATGACAATATATGTAATTGTAAGAGTAGTAGTACTTGACTTCTCAAAGAGTAGTATATTTATATATATATATAATATTTTTATTGCACTAAATACTTACTTGCCCTTTGTGAAAGAAATTAGGTAAGTATTTCATAGCATTAGTCCTTAAAACAGCAACATTTTGATACTGGTCAGTATGTTGGGATCTCAGTGCTTGAATTCTATCATTCACATAATCTGATACCTTCACACGAATTTCTAGTCCCAGCATTAAGCTCTCAGGAAACATTGGTGAAAGTGTAACTGTAAATTATATACAGGTTTGAGACCAAATAAAATGAGAATGATGATGTTAACATATAAGCTTTTTTTATTTATTTAAACTTAATGCACATGTTGTACAAAGGCAGACTTAATGCCCTGACACATTCTCTCCCAGTCCACCTTCAGTGAGTCTGTCAGGTGACATAGAAATATAGATAGATAGAAATATGATGGGTAGGTGCAAAGATAAAATATCAAATTTGTTGTAGTTCATAGTTTGGTTAATAAAAGATAAGATTACATTAGTTATAACAAAAATACATAAATTCGTTACTACATATATTTCGGCAGGGAGTGTATTCCAGAGAAGCACTGACTGCACGTAGAAGGAAGAATTAAAGTTGGATGTATGAGGTATATAGAAGAAGCTTTATATCCTACTAGCTTTAGCCTGTGGCTCCACATGCGTTTATGTCGGTTATTGCGGTAGAAAGTAGCTTATGTCCTTCCTCAAGAATGAAAATATACAGACAGATAGACAAAGTTAGTTTCATATTAATAATACGAGCAGGGATTAACATGGACATACTCAGAAAGACAGAGCTTTTCCGCTGCTGCCGGGGCAACTGTTAGTATGTTTACAGAACTGTCAAGTTTGTTCAAGAAGTAGTAGCTACAAAGTGTTTTAAAAAAACTATATCAATCTGTAACAGTAGCTGAGTTCGTCCAAAATTTGGGTTATCGCTAGTACATACCCAATTTGTCGAGATCCTTCACAATTTATTCATATAAATAAAATAAATTTGTAATGTTTCCTGATACTTTTACAACAGTGTACTTTTACTATCGACCCATATCGCTTCTAAGCCACGTCTACAAGCTGTTTTCGAGAGTCATCACGAACTGTCTTGCGCAAAGACTCGACGAATTCCAACCACCGGAGCAAGCTGGGTTTCGGCGCGGATATGGCACCATAGACCACATCCACACAGTGCGGCAGATTATACAGAAGACCGAAGAATATAATCAGCCCCTGTGTCTAGCATTCGTGGACTATGACAAAGCCTTTGACTCGATCGAGATCTGGTCTGTTTCCAGAACAGACCAGATCTCGCATCCCTGCAGCGTTGCCAAGTAGATTGGCGATACGTCCAAGTAATGAGATGTCTCTACGAAGCCGCCACCATGTCCGTCCAAGTACCGAATCAGCAAACAAGGCCCGTACCATTGCATCGAGGAGAGAGACAAGGGGACGTTATTTCCCCGAAATTGTTCACAAATGCAATGGAGGACATGTTCAAGACGCTGCACTGGATAGGACGTCGCATCAATATTAATGGCGAATACATCTCTCACTTGCGATTTGCAGATGACATCGTCATCATGGCAGACACGTTGCAGGACCTACAGCAAATGCTGAATGACTTAGCTGACACTTCTGTACGCATCGGCCTACGGATGAACTTGGATAAAACCAAGGTCATGTTCAACGAACATGTACTACCGGAACCGATTGCGGTACACGGTGCCGTTCTCGAAGTTGTTCAAAATTATGTGTACCTCGGGCAGACATTGCAGTTAGGTAGAAACAACTTCGAGGACGAGGTGAACAGAAGAATTCGGTTGGGTTGGGCAGCGTTTGGGAAGCTACGTCGAGTCTTCTCATCGTCGATCCCACAGTGCCTTAAGACGAAAGTCTTTAATGAGTGCGTCCTACCCGTCATGACATACGGAGCTGAAACGTGGACACTTACGGTACGGCTGGTCCACAAGTTCAAAGTCGCTGAACGTGCTATGGAAAGGGCTATTCTCGGCGTTTCTCTAAGGGATCGCATCAGAAATGAGGTGATCCGGCAGAGAACCAAGGTCACCGACATAGCGTACCGCTGGCTGGCCATATTAGCCGCAGAACCGATAACCGTTGGGGAAAACGAGTTCTTGAGTGGAGACCGTGTCTCGGCAAACGTAGTGTAGGACGCCCACAGGCCAGGTGGAGTGACGATTTGCGCAAGATGGCTGGCAGGAGCTGGATGCGAGAAGCCCAAAATCGATCTAAGTGGCGTGCAATGGGAGAGGCCTAAGTCCAGCAGTGGACTTAGGCCTCTCCCATTGCGACGATAGGCTGATGATGATGATGTACTTTAACTACTATACTTTTTTTTTCTCCTGTCCCACAGAACCACAAACAGAAACTATTGAAATCACAACAATTTCCTCTTGGTATTCCATATACTACCTACCCTGATGTTGGCAAAATCATTGATATCTGATGGAGCCATTGAATTAAAATAAGTTGGTGTAATGGTTAGTAACCCTGCCTGCTAAGCCAGAGGTTGTGGGTTCAATTCCCACCCAGGACAAATATTATGTGATGAGCATGGTCATTTGTTCTGTGCCTGGGTGTAATTTATCTATAATATTTATGTATTTAAAAAAATGTAAGTATGTTTATCATCCGTCTGGTTACCATAGCACAGGCTCTACCTAGTTTGGGATCAGACGGCCGACGACGACGGCATGACATTATTCATAGATAGAGCAAGCAAATTGACAAGATGGGTCACCTAAGGATAACTGACTACTACTCTGGTAAACTCACCTCACTCACTTGGTGAAAAGCAATTCTTTTATTTTGGTTAACACCAGTCTTCTGTGAGACTGTGGTATAACTCTTTTCAAGTCCATTAGTGTGAATGCACTCTCTCACATTATCAATAATTCGATTATACATATTTAAAAATGTTGTATTTGGGAATCCAAAAAGCAATGTTTAAATACATATACCTAGTCAGATTATTTACTATATATTATTATTTGTAGCATATAAACAGTAAAAAAATTGACGAAATGTTATTATAATAATATGGATTTATGAATACATTTATAAAATCTTGGCAGCTTAAACTTTGTAATTACGAAAGAATATTACAAACCTAATAAGCCTCCATATCCACATCCAACATCTAAAAATTCAACATGTTTATTATTTGTTTTTTCCTCTTCGAGTTTCGGATACAACAGTGACCAGTTAAATTCATCTGGGTGGGAAGGACTGTAAATTAAAGTGGGCATGTAATATTGATAGTTAAATATTCTTTCAATCATCGGTACTTTAATATCAGTTTTATTAAACTTACTAATCAAAACAATGGTCAGCAATCGGGTTAGAATGTGCACGTTGTCTATAATACTTTTTCTGAGGCAGAGCCATGTTTCTAGTACCAAGTTCAAAATAGTGACCCTGATAATTCCTATTAATTTATAAAATCATATCAAATCTACAAGTTTTATAAATAGAGTTTATGAGTACTTGAGTACATAGCCAACGTGATTTGTTATGTCAAAATGACAACAATGGCTAGTGGTGACAGTATGACTATGAATACAGACAATAAATTATTCTAATTTTTGTTACTTAGTAGTAATTATAAGATTTTAGAGCATTTTCATCTGGGCATTTTTTATTCATAATCAATTAATATTTATTTTAAATAAGTATTTTGAATTTCCCTTGATAACGCATTCAATATTAAATTGTCATAATTGTAAAATTGTTTTCAATGAGTTTTCAGTTATACTAATTCCATACGTTGTGGTGTGTCGAACTTGGAATAGTCATTTAATCTAAGGTTTTAGTATTTTTATTTTGTATTTTTTATTTTTTTATTGACCTTTTATGTTCTTATTGACATCCGCACAGCGTACATTAGGAGTATGTAGTAAGTCAGGATACATACATACAAGTTTAAGAAAACAACGGCATTCTTTTTTTGGCTCTAAACGCAAACACGCTCTAACAAACAAAGCAAATTCCAGACAAAGCAAATGAGTCACATCACTAAATTTTGCTGAAATGTCATAAATTCAAAAAAGTGTCGTGTGCTCAGCTCAAGTAACAACAATAAAATTGCAATGTTCACTACAAAGTATGAGTAATTCATGTAAAGTATGTGTAGTGTATTCGTGAAATAAATTTATTATTATTAGCTATGCATTCCAGTTAATCTCATAGGATAATGTAGTGGTTATTGTTCGCAACCTTCTCACCAGACATTAATCGTACCTCAAGTAAGTGTTATTTGCTAATTTGGAAATGTATGACTTTAAAATTAAAGAAAAGGTTCACTTAAGAATGAAAGTTTTCTGTCGCTAACGAAATATGCATCATAATATTGTTCGTGTAATAAATAGATTTAGGTATAATTTCAATTTGTAAAATTTATTTACAAAACATAACACTCTTTGGTTTTAATATAAGAGTTGTATATTATAACAGAAAACAGATTATTATAAATTCTATAAGATATTAAAAAAATATTGATTTTATTTCTAGTTGGATGCCTATGGTATTGGGTTAGTTCAAAGAATATTTTACACAAGACCCTCACGGGTTGAGTTTAAGCTGTTTCTAGTTATTCTTGTGGGTAGGACAGAACTTTGTCAAGATCAAGCTTCTGGCCACCTGTTAGTATACTTCATGTGAGAAAATTCTCTTAATTAAATTAAGTGATGCTATGCACAAGTTATGACATATAATTAGCTTACTTAGATATCTGTATATTTAAGGAGGCTTTTTTAGAATCAGTCTCACCCCTTCTCATTACAAGCTCTATCTCAATGCTATTCAAATCTTCTCAAAAACAGAGGGTAAAATATTTATTATTACACATTTATTTTCTTAAAACTGTTTATGGGCCAGTATTCAAATTCTGGTGAAATTATGACACATATAGGATTCCCAGTTATCTAAAATATTCATACTATTTCTTTTCACATTAGGTTGTAAATAAGAACCACTTGTATTTAAACTTTTGAATAGAAAGTTATTTTGTTATGCCTTAAACATTAAATAATAATAAAAATATTATTGTTTATAAATGTTTTCAGTCTTGAAAATGTACTTACACTGACTGCTTTCAAAGCATAAAACAATTGCTAATTTTTTTTTTGTTAAATTATATCACATAACAGGTAATACAGATAAGGTAACTTATTACCTGTTATGTGCTATGTCAGGGGAATTTTGACCAGGTATCACTGGCAAAGGCCAAGAATACCTTCAACTCAGGACTCACGAGTGTGTTGCCGGCCTTCTAGGCAGGAGTACACTCTTTTCTTGAAAGTCCAAAAATACTGCAGACGATAACTTTTTCCACAGATTGGTTGTGTAAGCAAAAAGTGTCTTGAAAAGTGCACAGTGGTGAAGTGCCAATCACCCAAGTGCTGGGCATGAAAATGTTGAACAATTCCTCAGAGCATTCTCCATTGGTATTGGTATTGGTTGTGGGCTCCGATTTCCGCATTTAGACTCGAGAGTGACTCCTTAATGCGTCTAGAAGAGGTTGGCTTGGTGAGCCAACCAAGCTCCTCAGAGCATTCTCCATGATGTATACAATAGAGATTGCAGAGTGAAGCTACATCTCTACATAACGCCAAGGAATCGAGTGTCTGAGTTATAGCTATGGAGACGGTGGCCGGAATGAAATACCGCCTCGATCTGTTCAGCACACCTTATCCTCTAGGTGATTCCGAAAATAAACATCGCTCGATATGTCGATGCCGTTAGGGAGGTGGTCTCAAACCGAGGTTATACGACAAATGGTATCTTTTTTGCGGTAAACGCGAAAACCTGTGTCTTTTTGAGATTTAGTCGACCCCAATCTGAAACCTCCGCTAAGAAAGGTTGTTTCGACTCTCGATGACCTTTTTTCCGAGAAATACGGGGCGGCCGGTATAAAGGGCATCTTCAATACTATCATCCGCATAGCAATGAATGCTACTAGTTTGCAAAATGATACGCAGAAGAAACGGTGTAGGTGATAGCACACAGCCTTGCGGGACACCAGCGTTACAGATTTGAAGCCGGAGCATGCACCGTCGATAATGACCTTAATGCTTCTGTCTGCAAGGAAACTGGTGACCCAATTACCTACATAATTTCTCGGGCAGTCTATAGCAAAAGGGAGCTTCGATCGAAGTCCTTTGCTTTGTATAAGCTAACTGCACAAGCTCTTGGTCTCGATCGCCTGTGCCTACCTGTGTGTTATTGTGTGTTGACGAGAAGATCACCGGCTAAGCGACCCCGGCGAAAACCATATTGTCGGTCATTGAGTAACTGGTGACTTTATAGGTACCGGAGAAGCTGGCTGTTAATTACGGATTCCATAACCTGAGAGAACAAGGGGGTTATGGCTATAGGCCTGTAGTTGGATGGATCAGAGCGAGGGGTCGGGTGCACAAACGCTACCTTCCAGGAGTTCTGGACGACGCCTTGGAAGTAGGAGTCCAAAAAATGCACGTTAAAACCTATGCCAACTTTGGAACACACGTCTTCAACACGATAGGAGAAATTCCATCAGGCCCACTCGATTTATGAATATCGAGGGAAAAGAGTGCTTTACGCACTGATTTTTGGCCGACCCGGATCCCCGGCATACACCTCTGGTACAGCGGTATGGTCGGCATTACGTTTCCTCCGTCATCCAAAGTCGAGTTGGATGCAAAGAGTTCGCCTGGGAGATGAGGATAAAAATACAGCTTATTACAATTTACCCAAATTTAGTTACATTGAAATTGGTGATACTTTAAAAAAAAAGTTAATTATTGAAACAACATTTTACATGACTTGTGTGTGGTTGTGTAGCTTTATTATGCTCGAACAATTTTAGTTGCCAGTTTGCTGCACCTTTATTTTATTAAAACTTTCACTGCAACAACATTTGAAAGTCATTTTAAATAGGTAGTAGCTATTTCCTTAGGAGAATAACAAGTTTTACATTATATAGTATAATTATATTTTTTTATTGCAAACCTATTTTATTCTTTAAATTTACTATTATAAATAATAACTTTGTAAGTATTACCTATGTTGTTGAGATTATTCTATCTTTTCAGGATTGTCTAAATTTTGAGAACATTATATGACTTATAATGACTTCCTACCTTTACTATTCAAAATAAACACGTTAAAAGGTACAATTTTTATCAAATTCAAATATGTAAAAGTCAGCACACACCATTGTTTTGACATCGTCGCGCCGTCGTCGCCCACGTGCGCCCGCTCCGCGCACCGCAGTCTAGCTCTGGCGCCGTCCATACTACACGTCAGACGCTTCGATATAACCGCTCCTATCAAATAGTTTGCGAAATATATACCTTCTACTAACTAACCAACTAGCCCATTTTCTTAAGTTAATTACTGTGATTGGTGATGTGTGATTTGTGAACATGAAGAAAGAAGATTGTCAATCTGGTCCTAGTAAAGGACTCACATCAAGATCGGCACGGTTACTTACGGACAGTATATCGTCTGACGAAGGACCAGAGACGGAATGTCTACTGAGTTCGCAACTGCAGGCAGTAGTGGTAGACCCCATAAGGGCTAGAAGGCAGTCGCTGACTGCTCCACCTTCTCCGACTGAATCTCGGAAGAAAAGAGATTCTCACCGCCAGCATAATTATAAAAATCATTTACATCACCTGATCCATTGGAGAGATATCTGGAGTGGCGAACCTAACAAAGGTCATGAGGTATAAAAGTGAAATACTGTTTATAAGCAAATTAAATACTGTAGTTAGCAATGATAACCACTTCTAAAATGCACGCCTATAACTGTTCTTGTTCTCGTTTGTTATTGTTTTGTACTTACAGCTGGCCTACGTCTATCTAAACGTTTATCTTCATTTATGTTGCTAAATACTGGGCCACGTTATATATCTTCTTCTTTCATTCTCGTGAACACTGACACACATTTAAATAGTGTTATCCTCATTGGTGTCACGCTTGACATTCTATCACGGAGTTGTTTTTCAAACAGGTCATTGCTTACAGCAATGACCCATGCAGCGAACACATTGGAGAAATGAACTGCCTCGGTCTAATTGTGCAGCCTGTATTATTTAAATCATGATGCAATTAGTCAAAACTTAACTTTATAGCCAATATAGTAAAATCCTAAATTAAAGATATCAGTTGTTTTACACGTCTCAGTATTACGTAAGCAGGATTTTCCGTCATTTCAGGAGGGGAGGGGACATATGTAATTACTTATTAACCTTAACCTGTATTGATCCATCGGGTAATTAATATTTTTAGGATTACTATTATTTAAATGTACATCGCGTGTAAATATACATTACTTTTTTAGAAATTCGTGAGGTGTTTCAGGGCATAAAAAGCAACACGCATTCTCATTAATAAAAAGCTCTCGGGCGACTGTGGAATGGACACGAATGTCGCGCGTATCGACTCAAGATTAGCTTTTGACAAGTGCCTCGACCCGTTCATGTTGCTGGCGATGTCGGACGATATCGAGTACAACAACCAATGCTGTTTGTGACGGGTGACAAGTTCGTAATGCAAATGTTCAGAACAAGGCTTTAATCGAATGCTGTCGGGTGTCTGTCGAGGCATGGAAGAGTCGTCGTGCGAACATATTCACTTCGTATTTGATTTGCAGCTAGACCCGCATACATCGCAGGACTTAGAACTTTTTTGCATGTGAGTTGCGTACGTTGTACATACATCTTGTATGAGCTCTCTGGAACATTCCAAGCTATGGCCGAAGAGGCTGTTTAAAAAGATCCCCAAACAGCGTGTGCAGAGCCGTGTTGATATTTGATGGTACGAAGCTCGCCGTTGTGCGATAAAATACGATAAGGCAAGGCTTCTTTTAACATGTCACTCATTCTATTTTACCTTAATGATATATTGTCTCAGTAAATACTTACCAAGAACACCGGAACATAACATGTTCTGTACCGTGTGAAGCTGGGTCGTGTTGCTAGTTAACACAAAATCCGTGCTGATAAGCGTCTTGTCGCGTAGCATAAGGATTTGAATACCTTCACGAACGATCATAATGTATCTACATTAATTAAATACACCAGGCTTTGTAAACGTAAATCTTGTAGAAACCCTAAAAAAATTCAAATGAGCTTCATGGTCGTTCAGTTCTTGTAATTTTTCTTAGAAAATATTCCTTTCTATTGCGATATGTCCAAGGTATATTTGTCTGTTGGTTTATTGACTTTGTAAAATTGCTCGAATTCAATTTAATTTGTTGGTTGAATGTTCTACTCTAGCTACTGGGTGAGGTTTGGAAACATCTTCCGACTCAATTTTTTTACACTTCGTACATTAGAGTTCCTCAAACTTGTTTGTCTCGCAGACTACCTGTAAGACCTATTTTTCTATTTGTATAGAACCCCTGCTTTATGTCATTGGATATTTACATATTTATGTAATAAATAGTCTCTTATTTTTCAATACTCTGGCAAAAAATTAAATTAACCCGTCATTTTATTTTTCGGTTGATGAAGTTAGAAGTAGTATATCTCATGGATTCCGAATTCTTTTTGCTTACATTGTAGGTATGCATGCGTAGCTTTTTGATTACATATTAATATTAAAATACTAACAACAAGACGTATACATTCTTATAAAGATTACACAATTCACAAGTCATCCCATACATTTTTATACATCATCACATCACATCAACAGCCTTTAGTAGTCCGCTGCTGGACATAGGCTTCTCCTTGGAAAGGTTTTTTTTATTACACCGCTTATATTAATGCGTATATTGTGTATGTGCACAATATACGCATTTTCTTACTCAAAAACTAAAACCTCTCAAAAACTACTAGCACTTTTTTAACTTTTAATGTATATTTATTGAACTGATTTAATTTTAAAATTAGGTCCTTTAGCTATGAAGTTGGAGATTTGTGTGGAAGTTTTAAAAAATATGGTTATTTTTTTATTTTAGCTAATCAAAGTATTGGCCCAAATTATCTAGACTACTTTTAACTGTAGAAGTCTGCTGGACCGGAAGCGTAAGCATGTATATGAAGTAAGCGAAAGCGTTTTGTACTACTCCTAGGGTTTAGATATTTTTCCCACTTAAAAAATTGACTAAATTAAAAAAAAGTTGAAATCTGGTGGGGCAAAGTCTGGTGGGTGTACAAGTACTGGCCCACCAGACAGTCATCATTATCTTCCTATAGGTAATCTTGGTGCTGTACCCTGGTCCACCCATTGAGACGAACGCTTACGGCTGTCGTATAGAATCCACTTTTTATCGCAGGTAACATTTCGATTCATAATTCCCTCGTTTCTATACCGATTCAGTAGTGATATGCATGTTCCGACGAGTAAGTCTCGCTGATGGTCGCTTAGTTTGTGTGGCATTCACTTATCTAGCTTTTTTAACTTTCCAATTTGACGCAAGTGCTTCAATGTTGTTTTGACACTAACTCCAAAGACCGCAGCCAGCTCAGCCGTAGATTGAGTTGGATCAGCTGCTGCTGTCGCCTTCAATTTGTCGTTGTCGACTATAGTTAGACAGTTAGTATATAGACTCGTTCTACAACTCAAAATTTCCAGATCTAAAATGATTGAACCAATAATGGGCCGTGTTTATGCAAGTAGTGGTTAGGTCCGTACACGTCGTTAATATTTCGTGCAGTTTGGAACTCATATTTTTGGAACGATAATTCCATCGTAGTTCACACATTACAACTTTGAAAAAAAATGCAATCACACGCTTAGGCTGTTCTCAGTAAAGACATAGACAAGATACTTAAAAATAAGAACTACCACTCTCAAGAATGTACTCGCACTTAATTTGACTAAAAATTAATGATTTAGATTGTTCTATCAGTCTCTTAGCCAAAGGTTTTGATTTCGCTTGAGACTCTGCTGGAAGTTACTCTTAACTTCTACTTAGGAATTATTAATCAACGTTTTACTTCGAGATGGTGAATAAAAAAGTTGCAAAGAAGACTCGAATACGACACCGTTCTTAAACATTTGAGAAACACAATACATTGCAAATGTCACAAGTGAAATCGCGGATAACTTGATTGATGAGCAGATTATTCATTGATATCACGAGTAGTAGTAGATATTTATATTTAACCATCATCATAATCCATTTGAATTTGGACTAGTCCGGATGGTAAGTCCTTTCGTTATTATATACCTCTATTGATTTAATAAACATTCGATCTGGTAACACAGTACGTCTGTAATTTAAAATATATGCCAGAGAAAAATAAATGCAGTACATTGTTATGTGGCGTTGCTTCGAATTTCAAAACGGATGCAATGTTTAATCGAACTCATACAGTTTGAAGTAGTGACACACCGTGATCTAATTCAAGAAGCAGGAAAGTTTGAATTATGTTTTAGTCATTACATTTGCAAGTGTGTATCGTATTACTAAAACAGTAATACGATACTACTACAGGTTTCCGTGTTTTCTCATAATAAATACTATTTAAAAATTGCTTTAATAACCTCAAAAAAACTCTTTGCAGCACGTATATGTAAAGGTTAGTTTACATACATCTAATGCCAGTAGACTAGTATTTCTGAAACTCATTGTCGTGCAATGCCTTGATACTTGATACCTCGGTAGGTCTTGATAAATAAAAAGTCCTTCATCATTTGTAACACGTATTTGATTGAGACACGAATTGCCAGTGAGTGGCTACTTGTTAAGTGGATACAAAATTGAACACAGGAACATAGGTGGTAATTGGACCGTACACTCATTACCATTACCGTTTAATTAATCACATAACTACACCCTAAAATATGTATTTAGGCAATTGTAATTAAGACATTAAAGACTATAAAACAGTTGTCATGAGCCATGTCCGGGGTGAGAGTATCATAGTCGACTATTGAGCAGATTCCAAGTTTAAGTTCATTTTCAATCTAGAAATTGTATTAAAAGTCTTATGGTGTTTTCCATAATTTTTACTGGTGAAGAATCCTTTATTTCCATTATAACTCTGAGACAGTTACTGTTTCAAATGCACGCAATAACATTCATATGAAACAAGCCGTAATACTGATAACTAGCAAGATCGAGCCGCTTGCATTCCTTTTAATTCTGACAATCAACGGTCATCATATGAGACTCGCGTTTAGTTCATGTTATTTATGTATTGCGTAATAGACCACCAAATGATTCTCGGTGAAACATGTTACGTGCGTAATAATTGGCGTGTTTCTGGAAGTGGAATTGAAGTGTGAGTGTAAATTGTCGTTGATGAAGCCGCAAAGTAATAAAGTTTGTATTTGAAATTCAATATTTGAAAATTGATTGAATGTTTTCAAGTAACTAACTTTTAAACTTTGTTATTATTTGAAGCTAAATGATCTTATACAAAACTATTAGTCTTAAAATAAGAAGCACGTTTCTCGCCTATGCTGTTGATCTAACTATCAATGAATATGCTGACATTGTATGCAATCGAAAGTCATTGTAATCAATAATTTAAGAAACGTATTTTTAATTGAGAACTTTTCAAAAAGCGCATTAAACAAAATGTTGTTCTAAAGTTGTATAATGGAGATAACATCATAGAATTGACACAAACATAATCGAAGCAATATACCTAATTTTACATATGTTTTCAAATAATCTATATTGTAAAAAAATTGGAAATGACATTCAAGCTCAGAGGCGGATCGTGCACTAATATAGACGTCGCCGCATCGGCAAAATCGCATCAGCGAGGCC